ATCTGAAGGTTTTGTCACCAGACAGCCCAGCAGGTTTGTGACATTTTTGGAAGTGGTGAGTTTGGAAGCGATGATGGCTTGACTTTAGAACTCATGTGTACTGGGCTCCACGCCGGACGACCAAGTGCCTTGAAGTTTTAACTGAAGTCCAAGACCAGGATTTTAGTGTGGCTCGAAGGCTTTTGGAAAAAGTTGGTGCGGCGCTTAAGTGCCTGAAACGATCATCAAGGTTGAATGCATCCACTCAAGTCTTCTGGAGGTAGCAGGTACAGGGACCTCCTATTTGAGGCATTGCGAGCCAAGCATTCTGCTTCTCATCATCGGAAGAAGTCTTGTGCAGGAATCAGGATGGCAAGCAGTATGACGGTGCCTACTTGAGGGTGCCTCACTGTTGCTGTCATTGTGAGTACTTATTCGGCTTGTCTATTCTGCTGTCGTCATTTGGATGAACCAGTCCACTCGCATTGTTAAAAGTGTTACGGCTACTCTTTATGGAAACAGTCCTGCAAGATGCTTTCTACCTTAACATTACATCCTTGAATTCATGTTAGTCCTCGTAACCCAGTATAGCTTATACTGATTAAGAACTGAGAACCATATCGTTGCTGCTATCCTGGAGGCCTTGCCCTGCTACGCGCAGCCGTACACGCGCTACGAAGAGGTGATGGCAAATGTACGACTCCAGGGATAGAGGGGGATAGTACTGGGAGTATGGGTGCCCTCATGTCTCATCTAGGAACCATGTTCAGAAATGCCCGTATGATCTCCGAGGTCAGGAGTCTTGCCGAGGCTTCTGCTGGGAGTTGTGGCCAAACCCATACATTTGATAAGATGAAGAATATGAAAAGAGAGTGAGATTCCACTTTAGCAAACCATGTCTACCAACCTCAGCAGCTGCAAATCTCAATCTCCGGCGCTGTGTTATCGGGCTTGAAATTCCGTTCGAACATATCCACCCCAAGCTGATGAGTTGGAGGCACGCACATGTCAGGATGAGAGTTGGAGAAAGATTTGCGGAGTGTGAAAGAGGGTGAGGCGAAACAATCACAACTAAGACGGTACTCGTATGATTTTGAGGACCCGGATGCTTGCCTGCCACCCTTGATTGTGTAATTTTCTGGCGCAACCACAATACCACTGTAGCTTCAAAGCCCTCAACTTTCTTGCTGGATGTCACTCAAACATTTGACAAAATGCTCGTCAGCAAGTGTTGTTAGTAAAGGTCCATTCAAGCTACATTAGCTAGGGGCACAATTGGGGTGAGCAGCTCAGAGTTTGCCGTGCAAAGCCCCTCACAGCTGGATCTCTGGATTTGAGATTATCTGAAAGATCAGCGATGCATGTCGGAGACTCCTGGTCACAAGCTTTTGACTGCTTGGGACGCTGTAAGAGAGACCTTCTTAGGAGGCATGCTACTCTGCCATGGATCCAAGCGAATGACGGACACCACACTTTCTTGCTGACATGCCTCTCCAACAGGCCATTCCATTGAGACCGACCTACATCAAGGACTCGCAGAATCACCGAACGCAAGGTATGAATGTTTTGAGCTCGTCGATAGCAGACATTCTTGAGTCCACAGTTGACTGCAGCAACTTTCTGTGTTGAGCTATCTGCTGGCAGTCTGCTGCTCAGGCTTCAAAGGCGTTGGCTTTCTTGAGAAATAGCGGATTTCGTCCTCAGAGTCCCTACTGCATGGCTGGACAGGGGACGTAACATCAGGCTACGGAAGCACGCGCGCAGAAAGGAAACTTTTCAGGAAACCCTGACATGACAAGCAAAGCCCTGAGGCAAGAATCCCAAAACACATGTGGGCAAGAGAGGGCGAAAGAGAAGTCAAAGAGGCGGTCAGGTTGATGAATTACCTTACCAAGAGCATCATTCAGCCAGTGCCGCCTAGATGGGTGGCAAAAAAGGACACAGATCGACAGACCAGCAGGAAACTTGTAGCATGCCTAAGCAATTCTCATTCGACCTGCTGAATGACTTGAATTTGTTCAGGAGACCGATTCGCCAGAAGCTTGCTGCACACTGTGTCTCTCAGTTTGACTTGGCTGGTCAAAACCCAATCGCATCCCCAATTTATCTGACCTGCATCTGGCCTTGTGAAGGAATTACATAAGCAGTGCCTGCACGCTGCTGACCGCTGCAAGCGCTGAGGGCTTGAAAAGGAACATGGAGGTCTCCACGTTTACCAGCTAGGGGCCGCTCGTTTTGGGTGATCTTCATCCAGACCTGGCCGTCATGTTCAACAACTAAGTCAAAGTTCCCAGCACTCGGGCTGTGAGATGGCTTAGGGTCTGACCAAGTCATCACGATCACGACGGTCAGCCTGCATACTGAGTCATCATACGGACTATCAGCAACGCATCATTGCACGCCAGTTGAAAACAAGCTTCAGGGAGCATATAGCGCCCCCCCAAAAGCAACTACGTAGTTACAGAGATCGCAAGGCCAAAAATTCATCAAATAGCTCAGATTGAGACGTACTTGGAAACTGCACCAGAAAACCAGAAACCTAAACAGATTCAGGAATTCCACTTCAGAACCTGCTAACTCCCCTTGCTAGATTACAAATGTGTGCTTCGTGATGTACATTGTGAAGCCATCCAATCTGCTGAGGCTATGGAGAAACTCGCTGCGAAACCTGGATGTGGCTCACGTCATTCACCTGCATCAAAGGTGGCTTCGTATCTACATTGACCCAAATCAAGCAGCCCTTCTTGCCTTGCGTTTACATTTTTCAAGCTCAGAATCGGAAGCCCATCGCTTCCCAGTCTTTTGCCCAATGAGGGATGCGACTGGCAAGACAGGCTGCTGGTTGGTGAAGGCACGGGGGGGAATTATGTGTCTGGTGACATGCTGTCAGATTGCAGACGCTCAGACTGCCACCATTCCAGGTCCACCATGTAGCATCTGCTGCGCACCGTTAAAAGCAAATGTCTCCCTGAAGCCGGAATCAATGAGAACGTAGGGGCAATAACGTTCTTGACACATAGCGATCCTAAGCCCCAATCACACTCGCTACATCCTATGGACACAGAGAGAAAGACTAATAACCTCGCCTAAAAGTCGTGCCAGGATGTGAGCGGCATCATGAGTGATCCAGCCGGGGCTGTGCTCGGCCGGATACGAGCCCACAGCTGATAGACCGGGGGCCTCCGCCTGAAAAGCCTTCACAGCCTTAGGAAAGACTTCACCTCGGCCTTAATGCTGTAGGCATGGAGATTGTCATAGTCACTCGGACTGACAACTCGGGATCAAGCTGCATGCTGTAGAGTCTCCTGCAACATGCAACATCCCGAGGCGAGCCTGAAAAGAGCTTCAGCCACCGTCGGCTCTTGAAAGGGGTTCCTGCTTGTCAAACAGTTTGACCGGGTCTGTTGCTTGTGGGAGACACGACGTCCTTTTGAGCAGTCTTGCCATCAGTCGGGTTGCGAGGCTATGAGGTGCGGTATAGGCTGTCCGGCTTATCTTGGAGCCTATAAGGTCCTTCATTTCGCTCAACGGCTCATCTTCTTTGCCACGCAGACATCCCATCCTTCTGCAAAGTCATTGCATGTCAAAGATATGTACTTGATGTTTTGATGCGGTTTCTGGATCAAGGTTAGCCAGGGGCAGCGGGTTTCAAATGGTGTTCCAGTTATGTTTACAGCACTTGGGGTTGTCATCTTTGCTTAAGTTTTTCAGTCCTAGCAGACAGCAAAGAAGCATACATGACCAAGAGCGAGTTTGCGGGACACAGTGGGCAACGTCCCCACCGCATTGTAGCTGTTGGCAGCTGAGCCAGCAAAACGACCCGCAGAGCCAACACAACCAGCCCTCAAGCTAGAAGGGGCATAAATCCTACCGCGTACTGAATGCAAGGGCTTAGACCGAATTAACATCAGCATGCCGGTGCATTGATGGCTCATGACTGCCAATGACACCGAAGTGTCCTTGGAGCCCCAGATAGATTGGGGCATAGAAGAAGTCCCACATTACTGGTAGCATCCTAAATCCTGGGGCGTGCAGCGGGGTGGTGCAAGATTTGCTTCAGCAGCAGTAGTGGTGGGCTTGATTTAGCCTGTGATCTATCCAGAGCTTCCTGATAATTCTGCATGCAGAGGAAAGCTACAAGTGTAGCCGCACTTGCCATATAGATTCCGGACTTTGTCTCCTCTCCTCATGACATGTAGCCTATCTTGCTAGTTCCCCTCAACGTTGCTACGAGACACTTAGCAGCCCCTGCTTTAGCATAAAAACTGTGGAAGCCGACAGGAAGCAAGTGATGCAGCCTTTGCAAGTCCAGTATCAGTAGACATCTGCCCAGGAGCTGCAGCACGTCTTCGGCTCTTTGTGCGGGTCCTCTCTGAGAGAGGCTGGGAACCGGAGCGGTCATGGGTAAGAACTTCAGCTCAGCAAGCAGCATACAAAGTCGAAAGGGTGCCTAGTAAGCATGTGCCCACAAGATGCACAGAATACAGACAGACGAATTATGCAACTCCGCACTGCGGAAGCCTAACGTTTTTCATTGTTGGATCTACTTCTCTGACCCTCTGCTCAGGCGGCCGTGTTTGCCGATGGCGTGGGTCAACAGATAGCATTTGCTGTGGGTCGGCAGCTTGCTGTACGACATGTGACTCAGTTCAACTGCACGTCGGATGTCGCTGTTGATTTTCATGGCACCAAGAGATTCTCACAATCCCAAAAGCAGGCTCGCGTGGATTCTTGGGCATATGGCTGCAATACCCTGACTAGGGGGTGGGCGTAATTAAGCGGGAAGTCTCTTGTTCAGTCATGATACTTAGATGGCGTTTGGATCGGCTAGTTTGGCAGTTGCTGAGGTAGCCAAGACAAAAAAAAGAAAAAAAACAACTTTAGACAGAGGCCGCATGTGAAGCGATTGAAGAACTGGATGTGCGAAGCTATGGCAGGATGATGTGTGACGGTAAGGATCAACAGACAAAACAGATAATTTTCTATTGGCAGCGATCTTATAGCAACTCCGCAGCTTTCCGATGTCCAAGGTTGAGAACAACGAGACAAACTTCCTTGGCACCGGCGAGAGGACATGGCCCTGCCAGTCTGAATTTCTGAGAACTGGCTTTGTTTGCGGGCTTGGTACTCAGAAGACAGGGGGGGTGCTGCAATATGACGACCAAGATCTGGGCAATTCGAGTGGGATCCCCATAAATCCTTTGTAATGCCCATGTCTTCTTGGGGCAATGAACCCCCTGCTCAGCAGCCAGGATCGAGATGATAACCGCCTGCGCCGTGTCCCACGACCGGAGCTTGATGGCGGCGGCGGAGAAATGCAGCAACGAAGCCAGGCGCCGGCGTTCGGTCCAGAGTGGGGGGCAGAGTGAAGGTTTAGAAGTTTCAGAAAAGCCTACGAGGGGCACGGTGCAAGATTTTGTCAGGGTTCTGCGGTCTTGCCTTGTACTCAAGTTGGAGGATGGGCACTGTGCGCTCACACTCGAAATTGTGTTAGCATCTTTGGAATTACATGGAGGAAGCACAGGGGTAACTTGAAAAGCTGACTGCAACAATTCGCCAGTCAGGAAAGGCAGGGAGAATTGCAGGCGAGAGCGCACCATGTGGTTTTTTGAGAACCTCCCAGGCAAAGTACCTGCCCCTTGTGATTGTACGCCGTGGAGAAACAGACGCCAATATCTGCCAGCTCCAAAGCTCTCAAAGCCCTGCTCAGGATTTCGATCTATGACATGAAGTCGGGTTCGACGAGCCCGATGAGACCTGCAGCAATTGATTGTTGTTTTAGAGCAGCACTGCAAGGAGCATTTGGGTTATTGTCAGTTGCCTTGCGGCGCCTCAGGCTAGCATGTACAGTACTGTTGCTTTAACATACAGAGTCAATGGCTCCCCGATCTCAGGAAAACGATGAAGCCATTGAGCGGCGCGCTGGGCAGCACCCGCTTCGTACCTTGGGCAGCAGAAGGGCTCAGTCTAAACAACAAGCAAATAGCAACACTCCATTATCGTGATGTCATCGATGCTCGAGGCAGCACGAGAACAGAGCCAACTGTAGGATTCCGGGCGTTCACGCCACTTGTTGCTTCTTGGACCTAGATTGCAGAGATGCCAGGATGACACCGCTCCAAATTCGAGTGCGCCATAATTAGGCAAGAAAGCAATCGCGACCGGACTGTCATCACAACTGCCCACTCAAGTGGCAAAGGTGCAGCAGGACAGGTAAGCTTGCAATGAAATTCTGTTGTGCAGGCTGCCTGATCAACAACTGGGCTTGCAGCTTTAAGACCAGCCCCTCAATTCAGTGCCCTGATTTCTCAGGTGGGGCTGGCCTTCTCGGCAGTGTCCCAGGAGCAGTGGATGGGTTCTGAGATGGGCTCCGAGGGTTCCCATACCTAGTTGCTTGCGCCGCCCTTGTTTAGGCATACTTGAGTGGCAGGAGGTTTGGCCTAGACGACTCACCTCCCAAGTTCATAGGATACTGGGGCCCTTCCAACATTGTGATCCCTTTAGCATGCATATGCCAGAATACAGCACCTGCAGCACCTCGGATCAAAGTAGCTCCGTGTTCTGGTTGGTTCTGCAATGCTGCGAAACTGTGTTGTATCTGATTCGCCCACACCCAACCCCGCAACTTCAGGCACACTGCCCAACTACTAACCATTCAGGCAGATAGATGATTCTAGCAGAAAACCAACACCGCCTCCGGCGAGGAAGGCGGAACGCCCCGTTACCTCTGCGCTGTGACTGCTGGTGCAGAGGCCACCCTAGTATTGATCAATTGGGAGTCAGAGAAGATCCTTGCGAAGTGCAAGCTTCCTGGGAACGTGGACCGAGTGGCTGGGTAGCACCGGTAATTTTTTCTTGTGCCGAAAGCTCAACAGGAGCCACTTGTACACAACCACAGCCATGCACGTGGGCAATGGACAGAAGACAGCTAGGTAGCTTTCCCTTTCCAGCATGATCGAACTGACGTCACTGTGTCCGGGCCGCACTTGCTTCGGCTGCTGCAGAATCCTGGTGCTGTTTGGAACTCCTCTTTTCGCTCTCTTCTGTCAACAATTTCCGTGGCGCCAACAACGTCAGAGCTATACAGCAGTAGCAACGTGAACCCAATCATGTAGCCGAATGATTCCGCAAACTCTTTCTTGAAGAGCTGAAATACAGTAAGGGTGGAGTGGCCACTCTTCCGGGAAGCGCATGGCCCAAATCCTGGAGTCCTTATTTACCTTCTTTGTATTTGGTAAGGCCCAATAGCACGAATTAAAGGCCTACAGTCAGGACCAGAGACCATGGTTAGGACCTTCTTATTGGATTTCGCCCCTTTTGCCTGATGTTATGGCCGAATCTTTTTGCACGCTTGCGGATTTGGAGGTTCAACAGGGTCAAGGATCTAAGTGAGTGAAAAGTCGCCCTGCGCAAGTTGCCCACACCAGCGGCCCATAGTTCCAACCAACCCTAGACCAACATCGAGCTTAACAACCCAACGCCGACTACCCTGATGGACACATCACACAACACTGCTATACCCTAGCCTAAGCATATCCGCCTCCCCAAAAAAGCACCCCGGCGCTCCTTACGTGCTGATGTCCCCTTCCCAGTATGGGCTAAGGATCCGGCATGCCAAGGGCGAGGTTTCTCTGAAAGTAATGCCTGCTTTTTCGGGGCTGGCGGAACCTGGGCTTCCTTTGGTGGGTCAAACTAAGATCATTGGGGTCAAGGGACAAGATGCAGCTCCAGATTTTGCAGGGGACTGTGCCTGGTTGACATGAGGTCCGTGTCAGGATCTGAGCCAGAACGCATATCGCATTTTCTCTCTTGTTGCTGCTTGAACATTTGACCTACACTTGGAGCCCACCTTTTCTGTATACTCTGCGTCTATGGGTGCCGAGGAGAAAGCCCAGAAGATTGTGGACCATTCCTGGCTGGAGGCCAGCCGAGGGCTGCTTGGCCTCTGCGTGCACGAGGGGGCCGTCCACATCCTCAGCGCGGACGAGTGGCTTTGAAGGGTTTCAGGCTGAACTTGCTTATAAGCATTTGAAGACATGCCTGGCTTGTTTTTGAGGCCTGTGTTTCCATGTAGAACCTTCTGCAGGGAATTCTGTGGAGGGGTTGGCTTGCAAGCCTATAATGTGCTGCTGCACTACACCTGATCCTACTTCGCCCACTTCGCGCCCATCTGTTGAAGCACCGCCAGCAACTGTCAAGATTAGGGGGCTAACAGTGGATCATCCACTTCACCCACGGCAACTAACCAAGACCGCATCCAAGTCTCTTATGTCGTGCTGGAAAAGTTTGGGGCGCAGTCCCCGATCCTACAATTTGAGGGTGCGCATACCCCGCATTGACATGCACATCCCCCCCCCCCGCCGCCAAAAGGGCCCAACACAGACCTTCCTTTTAAATATGTTTAGGATTGTGTACAGCCCCGCAAGATCCCGCAAGCAAGGCTCATTGTGCTGCGGACCATCGACAGTGCCTTTGGGCCCGAAGGAGACCTCGAAGAAGTGCTTCCGTTATGTACCTGGCATGGGCTTTGGGGGGGGCGGGGGAGCGCTGATTTTGGAAACTCTTATGAGCGGGGGGATGGCACTCAGGGATGCTGTGTGACGGGATGGGAATGCCGTCCCTTGACTATTTGGGCTCTATGTGCAAAGGGTTCTAGGGTTTGGGGAGTGGTTCGTCAAGCTTACGGATTCACAGGGTGTGCATTGTTTCCGGCAACCTAGGCATACGCTCCTTCACTCAGGGCTTCCTCGTTGGCGGCTCCTATGGATACTTAGCTATCTGGGAGGAGGCTGATGATGACGCCGCTTTCACTAGCGTTGCTCTGCACGCTCATCCGTTTCCGAATCAGATAGGCTTCAAGATAGTGTACAACAGGTACATGCATGCAACGTGGAGTGGTCATCGCTTTTGTCGTTCATCAAGCTAGTATTTGAAAGGATTAAAAGGATTGGCACATTTGACCATGGTCTCTTCTCGGGTGTTCATATCATGCACAGCAACACTGGGACTTATTGGGGAAATATTAGGGTTATAATGGGGATATGATTGGGATAATGGAAAAGAAAATGGAAACTACTATAATGGGGACTATATTAGGGGTTATAATGGGTGTAGCAGCCAGAGGCCCCAGGTGCTTCAGCTGTGGCTACTGATTCATCAGCTGAATTGCAGTTGTGAGGCCGCGAATTGCATCCATGGTTTTAAGCAGGGAATGGAGTATTCTATAGCAGCCCTCACTTTATCTCAATAAAACAGTAGCTTCCGCAATCAATCCACTCCTTCATTTCCTGCCCAACCAGCAGCTAAACCTTTAAACCGTGATACCCCTATAAGCCTCCCGTTTTCATGTCCTGCTCCTGTTGGATTTCCATTTGATTGTCCATGATTATGGCTAACAATTTTGCCCACTTTTGTAGCGGTTGTACTAGACACTGTCACTCCCTCGTTGTACCATAGCAGGTATCCGAGTATCCCGTCAAATCTAGCGCCAGATCTTCTGGCAGCATCCCAAAGGTTGAGAAGTCAGAGGACTCAGATGGCGGCCGCCGCACTGATGAGTACAAGTTCCTCATTGACATTATGGGGATTTCCCGGAAATTGAGGGTCCATTGGTTCCCTGGTACAGGGAGGCTTCTGTAACGATCATTTTTGGGTGTATGTTGGTCCCTTGTTGAACTTTCCGTGTGGGTAGGCAATGATTTTGGGCGTTTGAGCAGGAGATAGCAGGAGGTCGTGTGCTTCTTGCCTGCGCAGCAACACCTGAATAGTGTTACTTGAGGGAGCAGCAGGACCAGTATTGAAGTAGCAATGATGCAGGTACCAAAATACGTTACTAAGTTACTGTATTCATCGTGGTGATATCAAACCGACAGATTTGATGATACTCTTTGTTGGTCCATGTATACAAAGAATACTACATTGAGCTCTAAAGTCTGTAAATATTACTTACATTGGGCTATTTGGATCCCTATACATTCCCCATAAGCTCCTAGTTCCCGCTTCATTTTCTCCTTGCTTTCCCATCTGTTTTTGTTCCACTTTTAGGGTACTACATTGGGCTATGTGGATCCCTAGCGAAGGATCGGTCGAATTCTGCTGTGGAATAATCTGGGTTGCTGTTAAGGAACTATCAATCTAAGTTGCTCTATTGGGGAAACCGTATTATTGTCTATATGCTATATACTCATTATGGTAACTTATTTCAACACCCTTAACAGCAACGCAGAAAAATGAGGCTTGTGGTGGCCTCGAAAATTCGGCCCGAGCCGGACTCCGTTTGCTCCATAGCGCCTTGGCTAGGGCAAAGCGACAACAGAGCATCATAAGGTTCAAGGCATCTTGCTTAATAGTAACAATAGTAATGGTAATAGTAACAGTAACAGTAGTAGTAATAGTAACAGGAACAGTAACAGAAACAGAAACAGTAACAGTAATAGTATAGTAGTAGTAGTAGTAGTAGTAGCAGTAGTAGTAGTAGTAGTAGTTTCAACTTGTCAGGATTCTTTTGGGGCCTCAAGTGTTTTCTTGCGGGAGGGTAGACTGTTGGAATGGCTTACATCGATTGGAGAGAAGAAGGCCATATCAAATACGGGGTCTAAGGCAAGGTGAGATGATCAGGCAGAGACTTAAGATACTATTACTGTTATTTTTACTATAATCCTTATTACTACTACTATTATTATTATTATTTTGAATATCATTACTATCAGAATTGATGAGAGTGCGATCCTCCAGCTTTCAGGGCTGAAGCTGGTGCATCCAGCGTCGACCTAGGCAATGAGGGTCATATTGGATCATATTGGGATAAAGGACAAGAAAATGGAAGCTACTAGGTTATAATAGGGTATCTATTGGGGGTATATAGGGATAATGGAAAAGAGAATGGAAACTACTATAATGGGGATTATATACTGTACATCCACCTTGCGGAAAACTAGGCTCCTTGAATTCGGTATGACAAGTGGGTAGGTGCTGAAAGTCTGCAACGTCTACGAGGGTCCAAAGCCTCAGTACCTTCCCAAAACCTTGTCATACCCCTGCAGAACTGCCACCATTCCATTAGTTCTGTTGTAGAATCTTCATTCATCCAGCACACAATGTCCCAGACTTCAAAACGTGGAGTGCTCCCATGTACGCCCCTACAGAATATGTAGCTTCATCTGTGCAATGACTAACGGCGCCCATCCACCGTCCAAAGCCCCAAGTTCCAAATACCCTAGAACCCCAAATCCAGAATAACCCTGACTCCCTAAAGCCCCAAACCCTGAAACCTTAACTCCCTATTGTAAACACTCAACTCCTAGACCTGTCAAGGACATCACACCCAGCGAGGAACTCCTTCTGCTGGGCTTTGGGGATGCGGCCACTGGGCGGTTGCTTTGTGAGGCTTAGGATTTGACTTGCCGGTGCTTAATAAGTGATAAGTGGGAGGGAAATTAGGTATCAGGATAAGGGTGTTACATACGAGGATCGTGGTCCCCCGCTGCCCCTTGAGCACCAGTGAGTCGAGGCGGATCCGTGAAAACTCGTGCAGCCCGCCCGGTTGCTTTTTTCTGAGGGTAGACTCTTCAGGACTTGGAGCCTTCAAGCTTTCAAAAACCCGCATGCTGAAAAAATGATCCTGACCTCGCGGAGAATGATGTGCTGCTGACACAGTGGTGCTAAGGCCATGGGAATTTTGCCCATGGGGTCCGTTTACGGCAACGAGGAGGAGCAGGTCTCCTGCTGGTTGCGTTTCAGCTTTCCTTCCAAGATAGCTTACATGGGCAAGCTTTCAAAACTTCAGTCTTGCCATGGCTCCAAGCACAGCCCGTAGCCCTTCATTCCCCCCACGCACGTCAGATTTCTATCAACATCACCGGGAATCACTCCGCCGCCATCACTGCCGTGGAGACTTGACTGGATATTCCGGTGTCCTGGCTCCGGGCTTCAGGGCAGGGCATTGGAGATTCCTCGGCGCTTGATCTCCGCAAGCTAAGTCATCAAGGAAACCACTAGCCCATTCTGGTGCAGCAAAGCAAACAAGTACTTCTCTCAAACTTAGCAGCTCGCCCCGAAAGCTCCAGCTGCAGGGTTTCGGCGCAGCACCATCTAGCATCATACTCCCAGCTCAAGCTAGCCCTTCCTCAGCAGGGGTAGAGAGGTACCAAGATGCAGGGGTTTTCTTAAGAAGGACCTGTGTGGTCCCACTTTCATCCATAGACTCACAGACAAGCGCTTCTGTACAACACACCGCCCCTGCTTGGATTTCAGGACATGGCGGTGCATCGTCCACGGGTGGCCTTTTGATCTGCACATAGTGCGCTCCGGTGTACTGAAGTTCAAGAGCATTACTCCAGACCAACCATGCTGGCATATGGCATTCCCGCACGACGATTAGACTTCTTGGAGCTACCGACGGGGAGTATGATACAATAAGTCAGGTCTTCAAAAAATCCACTGACTAGGCTTCTCAGCCCGGAGCTTGAGCTTCTCATTGTTGACCATGTGTTGCAGGCTCTCAATCGCTTGACCAAACTTGATCAGTGTTTGATGTAGAGCTTGGGGTTCCTGACGTAGGGCAGTACCGTATGAAACTCCTGAACAGACATGAGCAAAAGCGAACACGCCCAACTTGGGATGCATGATCATGCCTAGTCTATACGTCTAGTTGTGACCACAAATAGTCTCTGTAGAAGAAAATACAATGCCTCGAGAGGCAGCCCGTTCATTATTGTTTTGCCCCTCCATGCAGGTTACCGTCTGCAAGGGCGACAGTTCTCTGCGTGTTTGGAACTGGGCATCGCGGACCGTGGGCCTCAAACGGTTTCGAGTTTAGGGTTCAGGGCCAGAGGTTCTTTCTGCAACGTCCCATCTGTTTTTTTTCATGTTGTTGCAAAGTATGTTCAAGCCAATTTCTATCAAGAGTGTCCGAGTACTGGCAATTCTTGTTGAACAGATGATTGCGGTTTTGTTATCTGGACAGGGATGTAGAGGGACACATTTCAGTATGCCCCGCAACAAACAGGCATTAGCTTGCTCTATCCGATGGCTCTGGTGGATGCGTATCGCGTCCCATGGAGTAGAACGCCCAACTCCAGAGAGTATTGTGGATGATCTTGTCTCAGTGAGGGAGTCTTGTAAGGAGGGTGCTGTAGTGAGGATTCCAGCCTCGCTTGTATCATGAGCTGCTCCTACTGACCCGGGAGGCCTCACATCGTGAACTTCCTTGCATGCATTGCGCGGCAGGACATGCGAGATCCGTTCCACCTTCGGAGGGGATCCACCAACCTCTGTTGCTTTGCACCCGCTGCTTGGCGGGCTGGTGCTATTGTATTTCCTGCAGACTGCAGACCTGTGCTCACATTCTCGTGCTTGGGTGGCATAGGTGACACATGTTCACCTCCAAGGTTTGGCTACTACATGGCGGTTAGCTTTGCTGAGAAAGTGCGGTTCTACCACATACTCATCAAGGTGCAAGGGGCAAACTCTTCGAGCTGAGGGGCTCCTGCTACTTGAGAGGGTGGTTGTAGGAATGGCAGTAGTAGCAGCGGCAGTTGTGGCGGCGGCGGCGGCCGTAGTGGGTAATAGTGACGAGTGGTAGCAACCTCAATAGCAACACATTGGACTGCCGGGCAAATCCCTTTTGCTGCATGGCTAATGTAGTGAGGCGACTGGAGCAGAGCTAGGCTAGGCAGATGCAAAAACTGCTCGGTTCTCTACCGCGAGTGCTTTCCAGTCGTTTGGCAAACCTGTCAAACCTTGCATGAACCTGCTGGACTGATGGACTGTGTTGTACAGGAGGGGGAGATCTGGAACCTGAGCCTCGCAGCCCTCCAGCCTGTAGAAGGACCCGGAAAGCCGCCGCCAGGACATCAAGCTACACAAGGAGATAAACCTCAGAGCTGTTGGGCTTCTGAAGTTCGCGCATGGCGGACACTTGCTGGCAGTGACGCAAGGTGGGAGCCGATAGCTGTGGGACAAATCCATGGCCAAGATATGAGAATTTCCGCCAAGTTCTTAGGCATTCGTAGTTGCGAGGGGCTACAGGCAGTTTCTCTTCACGGGTCAGTGATACTGTATGAACTCAGACCTCGTCTCTGCAAGCATGTAGGAACCTCGGGCTGAGCTCTTCCCAACAGATCCTAAGCACCTTCCTGAAGGCAAATTGATCCATATCTTCTCGGTGCGAACCCTGGAGAAGATCACAACGCTGCAAGGCGCGTCTGTTTATGATCTCGTGACTTGTGACAGGGGTTGCAGTAGACAAGGGACACTTACTTCCGAACTGACTTGAATTGACGTGCCACCCTTGAGTGCCAAGAGAACGTCAGGACTTCCTTGGTTGAAGCACACAGGTAAACACATGTGCGCACCTTTATCCGAATGCCTGTCAATACATGTTACCCTATTGACTCCATTTTCATCACTGGGGTAATCATGGGAGCACAGGCCACAGCAAGGAGATCACTTGCCTCAGCTTCGACCAAGAGGCGCCTCGATGGTGTGGTTAGCAAGGAATGAAGGCATGGGGTAAATGGACATGAAGAGGGGTGCTACAGGGACTACTACTCGAATCCTTTCCTACTAGACCTCCCAGCTACCCATGACAACGCTGTTGGCTGACAAACCCCTGAGTTTGGGGTTGAGGCCTGTTTTATTGGCATTTGGGAGGTCTGGGCAATCCCAAATACTAAAAGAGCTCTTTCACACGGCGGGTAAGTACGGGTAGATTCAGAGCCTGCGCGGACAATATCCCCAACATTATTCCGAAATGCTGTGTACGCACATATGTTGCGGTCCACACGAGAAACCTCTTCCATGATTGAGGTTGCGCTGAAGTAGCTAGAAGATGGGTCAACACTCTGGTTTCTTAATGTCATGGGAACCGTGCAGTTAGCTCAGAGAACTGTACATCGAAAGATGGGAACAAGAAGAATTATAGGCTTTGGGCATGACTGGCTCGGGCGGTTCCATGCGACGCGTTCAATTCTGGAGCCAGGATGATTTAGGAAGCAGGAGCTGCTCGATTTAGCACGTCACTCTCGATAATTTATCTTTGAAAGAAAGGTTTCAAACAGTCAACCAAAGGGTGCCATGGTGGCCCTTGCAGGTGCAGGAGTGAGCTCATCACCTTCTCTGACCGGCATATGTGGTTCTAGTCTTACAGGTACTAGCTCATCCTAGCACACATCCTGCTACGCTCTTCCCTCGATGTCACTCGGGCATGTGTCCCGGCCATTGGGTGTCTTGATGCTTGAGATTCCAACTGCAGTGAAGGGGCTCACACCTGAGCGAAGGAGCCCCCAAAATGGACTGAACCTCAACCCCGTTTCAGGACCACGCGTTGTGGAGCACCTCGCAGGATGGAAAGCTGTTACAGCTCCTCGGAACAAGCATAGCAGCTTGAAGGGGAAAACAAGTCTGCGACTCACCTTGAGGTGGAATGTTGCAACCTTCCGCAGCGAGTGCAACCACTTCGAATCGGGGACGGAGCGCTTGGCTGTGAGCGCCATTGCTCCGGACCAGGTAGATCGTTTGCATATGCTGACAGTAGCAGGTGGAGCAAAGAAAAGGAGTGTGCCCATAAGGCTTCTGAGGCCAAAGCCAAGTACAGTTGACATATACGGGGTTAAGTCTGCACATCAGGTGTGGCAGCCAAGGATTCCTCCCGAACATGATCATGTGTCGGCTTTGAGTAGTTGCACTGGATTTTGAATTGCAGATGCTCCGAGATTTGTGCCTCTTGAACCTAAGAGTTCAGGTGACTTCCAGCGCATTTCGGAACGGCAAGCAGCTGCTGCAGAGGCTCCTCTCTTTGCAGCTGATGGATTTCTCACAGATAAACACAGCAACTTCCACTGCATTCCCCATGACAGGTTCTCCCAAAGCAGTTTGGAGTATGAGGTAGAGCTGGCCTCAAACGTGAAGGTGTCTTGGAGGAAGTCAGCATGATGTAAGGATCGGGTGTCTGAACGTGTGGCAGCAGGACAAAAGCTTTTCTCCATCAATTTTTATCTGAACTCCTTCAGGTCTAGGTTTCGGTTCCTTCAACTTCAGGTGGCTATTCTTTCAGTTCGTGTCCCATCAAGCTACTACTGTTCAAGAAGAGAGGAGTCAGGGTTTCAACGGACTGCGGTAAGGGTTTCGGCTTTGATGTGCCAGTTTCGTTTGCTGTAGGTCCATATAGAGCGCATCTAGCACGCAAACTTAGACAGCCGTTCCCAACGGCACAGCTTCTGCAAGTCACGCTGCGAGATTCCATGGTTCAATTGCTGTAGGTCGGATGCGTGGTCAGTAGGAAAAGTCATCCAGTTGATGTCGGCTACACGAGGTCGTGACGCTCTACCACCACCATGGCAACTCCGTCTTCCTCGCTGGCACAGCGAAAGGGGGCTTGCAGGTATATACCTCCCTCCCCTACCAGGCCATGGTATGGGACGTCTTCAGGCTTTCCATGTAGCTCTGGCTTGAACAGTGGGGCCGTTGACAGGGCCCGTGCCTGCTTGCCTTGCATGCCGCGCGTCTTGACAGACAGAGCCAGAGCAGATGCATCAGGTGGTAGAATCGATGATGTGCACTGAACGAAGTTGACTGGCCTCCTCTGCTGTGCCCTGCATCTCATGTTGTAGGTGTATAGGTCTATGAAACCGAAGCCTCGCACTTTCTGCAGGGGCCTCCAAAGTTCTTTGAGCTGGCTTTGCACGGTATGGCCTGCACAGCCCTTTGCGTGTCTGTCGATGGGCAGCTTGACTCGAAGATGTCGGTTACCCAGGTAACTTACTTGCAGGAAACGTTCGATTCGACCTCATCAGAATGTCTTTCGCGGTCTGCGGGAATAGCTTGTAAGTCTGCCCAGAAGTTGCAAAAGCTTGCGTGCAGAGGACTTAGAGAATCTGTGGTGAGCCTTCCAGATTCTGCAAATGCGATTGGTAAATGTTTTATCCTGCGGGGTTTGCTGTAGTTCTGCACGTTTTGAGGCCGGTTGCCAATCTGTACTGTTTGTAGCCAGCCGGCCGCGTATTTGAAGATCGAGTCCAGCACGCTGTGGTTTTGCTCATGCTAATGAAGATGGGGTTAGACATGTTCAGGACGCTTCTAAACGCGAGACCACTCAACTCTGCATTGGACCAGCTTTTCAGAATCCCGTCAGCTAATGGGGGAGATAGCTCCACTCCATACCCGTTCTTCATGTACTCACTAACTGTACCCCGAAGGTCCTCAAGCAGACTCAAGTAACGACTTGTCCTAGCGTTCCAAAGCCGCGAAAGAGTCAGGCGAACGTTGGTTAGCTGCGGTGCTGATGGGGTGATCTTCGTGCTGGGGTTGTCGGGCCTCAGCAGCCCAGAGGAGACCTCCGCGATACGCTGGCTGTGTGGTTCCATTTTGGTGCTTCCTATCATCAGGACTGTAACTTGGGGGGGCATCGAAAACGAGACCCAACCTGGGCCTATCCGCACGTTGCAGTTTGACAACAGATTACGTTGAATGATTTAGGGCTTCGATATGCTGACAGGGAGATGCGCGCAAGGGATCTCCCTAAAACATGTAGGTTTCTTTCGCAGGAATGTTTTGGGGACTTTGCGCGCCTGCAATCACTCTCAAACACAGAGCAAGAACTTCCCAATATGAAAGAGTGCTGTAGGCAGGGAATGTGCTATCTGTCTGACTGTCTAAATGCTAGCCAGTTGACACGGAAACACAGGGCCTGGCCTCATGGAGTAGCTGTGTTGATCAGGTAATGCGAGAAGGTAGGCGTTCGAACCGTACAGCCTGATGTGTATGCTGGTGCGCTGTAGCATATAGAGAAGCCTATTCGGATCAAGGTGCTTTCTAGGTGAGAGCTACTCCAATATACTTCAGTCGTGTCTCATATGGGGTGATATAGTGGGTCCACCTTGGTGGGTTTAAGCTCAAACATTTCCAGAGCATATGACCCCATGGGTGGGAGCATCTTCCACTGTTGCGCTTCCCAGACTTCATCATTTCACCAGCAGAAGCTTAGGCCTCAAACGGCCCAGTAACTTTGGAAGCCTTTCATGGCCCCGCACATCTTGAGGAGTTGAACATGCTTCCCATGGCTTTGTGTCTGGGCTTGCTTCAGCAACAGTCAGTGTTAGAAGATGTGTGACGAAGCCGGCCCTTGCCTCAAAGGCAAATTTGTAGGCTGCATGCTTGGAGTACTTCAGATGTCCCAAAGACTTAATGTGAATGAGAGCTGGTCGACTACTGCGGGCCGACACCCCCTGAATTCCAAGCTGCCACAAACCGTACTTTAGTCTGCTGACTGTCAGGCAATGTTGCCTTTAGGGGCCGTATAATTATGATACGGACTCTCGCATTTTGGGTGGCAGAAAAAGCTTTCTGGCTGTGGCAAACGTTCCCAATCCTCAGTTTAGTCTCCGTTTTGACAGCTCGTACGTTGAATGCCTCCGGCTTTTAGCATCAAAATGCCTTCAGATATCTATGAATGACCATCCAGTGTAGTAGATGGTGTTTGTAGCAAGTGGTCATGACAGTCGATCTGAATGCGCTTTATACAATCAGGAAGCACAATATTGGAGCCCAGGCATCAAACCGACAACGACCGCTTCGCTCAAGATGCCGAGGTTTGCCGTGGTAGCATTTCCGTAGATAGCAACCTAGTTCTCTGCTGATGATCTATGTAGCTTTTTCTGAGGTCATGTTGTAAATAGTCTAGCGGCAAGGCAGGCCACTGCAGTTGGGAATGCCTCGTCCTGAAGGTCTCAGCCGCCATATGTATCATAAGACTTGTCTCGCCTGGGCTGGCAACAACTGCCAGATGCTGTATGCCATTGCGACAAGTGGTTTGCTTGTATTCGCGTTTGATTCTATAGAAGTTGGCGAAGTTGTTTTTTGCAAAGGGATGTGCGTCTGCGGATTTTTATTCTAACGCCCATCATCTTGCGCGAATGGTGATGGGCTGCTGCCTGGTTCTGCCTGTCACTCGCAGCAAGTATGCGCCATCAAGTGGTTGACCTCAGAAGCTCTGGTAGTTTGGGACCGTGAAGCACGGAGGGTGGCCACTGCCAAGATCATCCATACACCGGGCAGGCTGTGCTGGCCTCGAAGCAAGAGATCCAGAAGCTGGAGAACAAATGTCAGGCAACCATAGTGTTGTCCCAGGACTTTGCAACGCTGGTTGGGGCTTCGGAAGGATGGAGTTTGGGGTCATTAGCTCTATCGGCGATCCAAGACCTCAGTTTTCTGTGGAGCTCGTTGAGGGCTGTAGGATTCAGATTCTAATCTGGCCCATGCTTCGAGCAAAGTTGTGCACCTTGCAGGTGTTTAGGCTGTTGCCTGCCCAAGGTAGTGCTGAACGATGGCAAGCTTTTTGATTCGCATGGCATGGCATTAAGCTATGCAGACTCATCGAAGAAAGTCAGTACAACGGCAGAAGTACTAGCAAGAGGCTGGTTAGGCTGGCAAGGAGGAGGAAGGACAGTTGGCAGGACGCATAGCCGCCACAGTGCTGCACGTTACCTCTTAGTTATCTTAGTGGCCTTGGCCTCAGACAGGGAGCCTGGTCTCCCAATCGTCATGTAGCCAAGATGAAAGAATCGACCCCATGAAAAAGCTCATGATCTACCCCGTGCGGTCGCGTGCCTCGTAAGACGCACTGCCCTTTATTTCATTAAGTTGTTGGCTCTCATCAGGCATTGACGGCGGAGTTTGTCGCCATTAAGGAAACCCGGGAGCGAGAGTTCGCTCTGCACGAGGAGGCTGGCAGACAGGGTTTGCCAGGGGTGCAGGGTCGTCCTGGGTCTTCCATTGCTTGTGGTACGATGCTGAAGTTGGGCACAAATGAGGGTTTAAGTCTCCACCAGGCCGGGTTTCGCCATAGCCCAGTTTGCAGAACCGCCGGTGTTCTTGCTTTTGGTCCTCTTGAGAATGCCTTCCTGAGCCCCAAGCCGTTCAGGAATGCGCGGCACAGGTGGCGCAGGCGGGGGGATGAACCTGGCTCCCGGTGCTGTTTGAGCAGCTTCCAAATGTTCTCAATCTCAATGCCTCTGCTGCATCAATTCTACAGGACTTCAGAGTTTGGTTTATGTTTTTTGCTGCCGGAGTGTCTTGTTGAATGCAATGGAGACTTAGCTACGCCCCAAATTCCTAGATCTGTTGCGTTGAAGTCAGTCTCTTGACATTACAGAGGCTTCAACACAGTCGGGGGAAACAGCTCATTATGAAATAGTGCCTTTGAAGCCACGCAAGGGCCCAAAGGAACCTAGCATCTTGAGCAATCCAAACAGCCCTTCAGGATATCACCAAGAATTATGCCATGATTCCCGATATGATGCGTGCATAGCTTCGAGACAGCCACCCTTTGGAATGACTATACCTAGTTACCAGCTGCGAGATGTGGCAGGCCAGGCAGAAGGATCAAGCGCAGATCCAGGAGGGGCTTTTCTTTTTCTTTCAGGGAAACTGTGCTTCTCACAGCCTTATCTCACGAATACTCGGATGCAGGATGCATCTTTTGGTGCAAAAGTTAAGTACTTATCTCGGCCCCTCTCACGACGACTTTTTTGCCTACGAATACAAACTTCATGTTAGCAAGCAAAAATGGCTGCTGTGCAAATTCCGCAATTAACAGCTTCCTGCTAACTTTGTTACAACAGCTAGTTCCTGAGTAGGGGATGTGTTTCTATGGCACCCCGAGTTTGACAAAGCCAAGATCCAGGTTTGCAAGTAGCTATGGGGAGGGGCGCCACTTATCCGGGCTTTCTTAAAACAAAGAAGCTCTGATCCAGGGACTACTTCTGTGCTGAGACAGGGTTTGTGGCCTGCAGGCTTTGCAAGCCGCAGCCTAAGCCTTCGGCTCAATGATCTTCAGCCTTTAAAAGCCTCATTTCTACACCCATGCGTCGTCTAAAGCCCTGATCGCTGCGATTGATTGAAGCTGATCTGCTCTGTACTTACCCTTGGTTAGCTGAGAATGAAGGAATGGAAAAGAACATGGAGACTACTATAATGGGTTATATAGGGACTACTACACGGATCCATTCCTTCATTCCTAGCTAACCAGAAATAAGTGAATCAGGAGCTTCAGCGGCGCCTTGCTGCTTTGGAGCAGGTTGGGCTTGGCAGCTTAGCGCCTGCACCAGCTTTCCAGTATGAGTTTAGAAGTAATACTTGGAGCACCTCAGGCTCCCTCACACCATGCACCCGCGTCAGATATGTAGAGCAGTGATAGCTATGACGCGCTCAAGATAGGTGCTGGGGGCTTGTTGCCAGGGTAGTTTCCACCCAGCAAATCGGCTCTGAAGTTGAAACGGCCCTGGCAACCTCCAAGCGTTGCAAATTCCACTGTCTTCCACCATGCCTTCTGCAGCCCAGAGTTTGAGATGAACTTGTTGCCAGAGCAGCCGTGCATGAATAGCCATAACCTTTGGATTAAGTATGTATGTTTCAAGCACTAAGCCCACGGCTTTCGCACGGCATTTTCCTGTGAAAGGTGCGCAGGGAATAAAAGCTTGTACTGGCAGCCCTGACCCTGACTTCAGGCCGCACAAGCCAAAGACCTTGAAGGCTCCTGCTAACATGTGCGGCTATCTGCGGCTTGTTGAAATCCATGATGCCTCGGCTGTTGGAAGTTGATGTTCTGCAGAGTGTAAAGGCTGGCAGGCTGTTTGTGGCTTGCTTGCAGGCTCGCAGGCTGTCAGTCGCCTTCCTCTTGCAGAGGTCCCGGCTTCTCTTAAATACAGACCTCACCATCCCTGCGAAGCAGCACTGTGACTGGAGGAGGGCATCACCCAGATTAGCTTCAAGTATGGTCATTGTGCCCTAGGGTGTTCCCACCTCATTACCTGCCGGATCCTGCCGGGCCTGAGGCCTTTTTCAGGAAAAAATGGGCCCGTATTCCGCTGCTGCATAGCCACGCTGAAGCATGCAGGCCAGCGACTCATGCGCGACATGGAGATGCGCCATGGAGAGGCCGTGTGAAAGGGGGATGTATGACATGAAGAGAGCCTGTGCTCATTTGTAGTTCAAATGCTGCTCAATACGCTTACCTTTGCAGACTGTATGTTGCCGCTTCATCGCGGCGTCAGGATGATAAAACTGTGTAAGCCACTTGCTGTCAGGTTCAGGGAGATGCGAAGGGCGTACTTGCCGGCTGGCCTGCACAATGTAAATAAACACACGAGAAATATGATCATACTCAGTGACCGAGTGTTAAGAAGTAACAGAGACGCAAGCAGGGCAACCCTACCTGTGCGATCGTATCCGCAAAAGAAAGCACGGCTCTGCTGCGGAGTCCGTTGCCAACTTGGGACCCCCTTGCAGTGCTTGGCGTGGTTAGGTGCATGGGGCGACCTCTCGGGATAGCAGCAGGGCACTTCGTATTGGTCTAGGTTTATGTGTGTTCTTCAGGTACCGCATTTGTCAGGTCCAGTACGGCTTAAAGATTTAGGTATAGTGGCCTGGTGTGCCAACCATCACGTTCCAAACCCAAGTTCCTGTCAAGTCTTGACCCTGCTTCCCACACCCCACTGGTCTACGGCTATTCTGTGTGATTCTTGGTGCGCATCAAGCTTTAACTACATGTTGCAAACACCTGGAGGCCCAAAAGCCAGACTTACACAAATTTGAACACACTCGCTTCTACTTCTACGGAGAGGCCTTGGACCAGCTCACAAATCTCTACCATCGCAAGCTGGGTCACGAGTCAGATCGGCTTCTGTCGCTTCGGATCCCTGGCTTTGTTTGGAGGGTCGGGTTGCCAGGCTCATTTGACAGACTTTTGTAGTCCCCCCAGACTATGCATGGGACTCCAAATCTAGGACCCTGTTGAAACGAAAGTAGTCTGAAAGAGGCACATTTTCAGGTTCCAGTGGCCGCAATCCGCAATTTCGCACCCGCAAGTCAGAGCGAGCTTCTTCCCAGGCTGCAGCGGGAGGATCTACAGCAAAAGATGCTCCAAGAGACACGGCGGCAATTAAAGAGTTTCAGGTACCAATGAGATAGAAGTGTTGAATAAAAGAAATCTGAGCGTAAGGATCTTATGGGGCTAGACTCTGAGGCTCCGTCATCAAGTTTTCCTGCAGAGCTTTGCGGGAGCTCCACGAAATTATCATTGGTGCGCAAAAAGAGCTAAAGAGAAGTTATTTCTAGCCAATACCGCATTCCAGCTTGGAATGTCCCCTGACTGCCCATGTGGTTTACCTGGCAATATGGAATCATCCCGGACATGGCCATTCTACTCGTATCCGAGTCCCGCTTGTGCTGCTACCGGCAAGTCGAGATTCCAACGATTTTTCATTTCAGTTCAAGAATCCAAAACGAGTCGCCCGTCGTCCAAAGCTTGCCTATCCTGACAAGACTCCCAGGAGGATGCCGACCACCAGCAGCAGATACGGGAGTCAGCGATAGCGGCCAGCGTCTCAGTCTTGGTCTTGCCCTACGGATGTTGAACAACAGCCTGAAGGCGGAACTTAGAAACCGCCCCTCATACATGCATGTGTGCACGTATGCATATCGAAGTGTGCCCGTAGGATCAAAACTGAAACAAAGGTGACAACATCGTACGGCATTCTGTTTTCGTTGCTGCATGGGGTTCAAGCAGGATGCGCAGGCAACACCTTACCACTTCTACCGTATAATGTCTTGGACAAACAACCATGGTACATAACTTTCTTGAAGATAGTCTCCCGAAAATGCGGTGGTCCATAAGACCCGTGCATTTTACGATTGGCATATCGATAGATCAGCTCCAGTTGCTGAAAGGGTCGATAGCGAGAGAAGGTTCGGTTGGATGGAAGCGGACTGACTAGACTGTTTAGCTGGCTTGGTTGGCCTCCCCACTACACCCAAGCCATCCAAACTTCCCAGCAGCTTGCCTCCAATCATGGGAACGTCTGCTATGGCACCCTCCACATCCCACATTTGTAGGACCTGTCAACTTGTATTGGGGTGGAGACCAGAGTGTTCGCCCTGACGGGAGCGGTGCGGGTGGGTGGCTGGGTGGGTGGGAGTCTTGAACAGGAGGCTGGGGAGCCTTTTGTATTAAGAAGTATTCCAAGAAGATGATGCTTCTCACAGGGTCGGACCCTGCGCTTACTGCTATGGCTGCAAGACCACACCTCAAAGCCAAATCAGCTTCCCTTCTTGGAGGCCCTGTTTCGGGCCAGCTGGAAAAATACTAGATCCTTAAGCAGCCTTGTGTCTTGTTGCCAGGTGCTGAACTCCTAACCCCTAGGGCCCCTAAGCTCTGTTTTGCACCTTGAACCCACCATGGCTTTGAGAAATCCCAGGCTCAAGAGGAGCTTTCACGCCTGCTGGCAGAAAGGGACCTGGAGATTAAGAAGCATCAGGCCAGATAAAGTCAGGTTCAGGGCTTAAGGGTCATGAGGCTTGGAGCTCAAGGTTGGCTCGTATTTGGGGGGATAAGTGGTGAAGGGTGAGGTTTTGTTGTTCAGGGTGTGGAGTTAGGGTTGGGGGATAGAGGCTAGGGTTGGGTTTAGAGTGCGGCGAACACAGGTTAGCATGCAACGCACGCTTCTGTGGGGGGGCTGGGTACAAAGAATGCAGGCCATGATTCAGAACCTTGCGGTAAGAAAAGGTTGAGGCTGACATTTGGAGTTTGAGAGAGGCATTTTGGGTGTGTAAGGGTGAGGGTCAGATGTTTGGGCGATTCAAGGTCTGAGGATTAAGTAGTTGAGGGGTTTCATAGGTTGTGGTTTATGCCAGGCCGGCAGGAAACATAATCCTGAACCTTCAACATGTTCAGGACATGCTGGCCTTCATCCAGCATCGCTTCGAAGAGGTCCAGCAACATGGTGCTGACGGCCATGTACCTGGGGCTAACAGTTGAACACAAGGGCTCTGAAGCTAAAGGAAGCGGGAATTGCTCTTGGACTCAGCTGAAGACGGCTCCCCGTATGTTGGCTCCAATTCTCATAAGAGCTCCGTCAAAGGCTTCCCCTATTGCAAGGACAGTGTGTCAGGCAAGCATGCATATAGGAGCTGTGCTCAGGGCCCCGAACATGCAGAGAAGTTTTGCCACTGCTCCGGCTTCACGGTATTGATAGAGACGCATCTCCCAATCAACATTTTCGGGCGGCAATAATTGCAGACATTGCAGGCTCTCAGGGGCCTCTTCGCATAGTCAAGGTCTGGCCTCCAAGCAAACTTTTTGGAGTGGGCCTCCATTGGCAAACAGGGATGCAGGGATGTCTTACTCCCAATGGGTGTAGGCTCCAATAGTGGTTGATATTGTCTGAAACAACGTGAGAAGATGGCCGCCACGTAGGAAGGCCCTCCCATGTAGGAGGTGACTGAGTCAAGTCGCCTTCTCTCAGGACCGCGAGGTCATCCGTCACTGACCTGCAGCAAGACGGATCTCTTCTGTAGGCTTCTGTAGGACCCAGGGAGCTACATCTAAGGATTGTAGTATGTGGGTGTCGCTATTTCTCATTCAGTAGGTCAGCAGGCTTTGCAGGAGTGCATCTCCAGGAGGACTGTTGATTCCACCGCTTTGGTGATGTGATGTTATGGGCAACTGTGCAGAAAGCAAGACTGACCGGACCCTGGATTCTCTTTCATGAGTTCTATTTCAAGTTTCAGTGAAGCAGAATTGGAAGAAGCTGGAGAGCCATCTTTTCTACTTGAGTAAGGAGTTTGTTTATCTAAGGCTTGAAGCATGAAGGCTGGGAGGCTCTGGAGGAGCAGAAGCAGGCCAGTTCGGATTCAAGGTCCAGGTGAAGCGGCCAGGGCATTTGACTGTTTGATGTCCTGAACTATTCGCCTCAGCATTTTTGTGAGTTGTGTAGGTTTGGCTGAGCCAAAACCCCATCTTTGTGCGGACGTGTCTAGTCAAACTACGTCATGCAACAGCCGCACCAGACATTTGTGAGAGCATCTAGACTGCTGAGCAATGCGTGCAGTCTGCGGTGATGCTGGCTCCGTTGCAATGCAAGAGAATTCATTGGAGTTTCTTGAAGGTGGAGGGGCAGCTGCGGACGGAACAGGAAAAGCTGCAGGAAAGCCTGGAGAAGCAGGAGAGCACGGAGTGGGACCAGCAGTTCACATGTAAGCAGCGCTGGTTCAGGAACAAACACCAAAACTTCACTTCATCTGCATCAGACGAATGCAGGGCAGGCTGTTTGGGCTCGACTATGGTTAGTATACCCGCTCTGGTGTGGAGTTCCCTGCGATTTACGTCGAAGTCTCTTAGATGCCACCAAGCACCTCCCCAATTTTCCATGAAGTCTTTGGACTCGCTTTCGGCAAGCCTTAGCCTGAACCCTTCGCTCAGGAGAAGGAGCGCGAGGCAGTCGAGGAGAAGCAGCAGGAGTCCAACTCCACCCTGACACTTGGCATGTTTGGCCTTCTTAACCGTATAAGCCCATTTTGGCTTGCCTGCACAATTTGACGTACGGCTATGAGGCAGAAGTGGCCAAGCTGTCACAACTGGAAGCTGGAATCTATGCAGCTTCATGTATCACGAGAACTGTCATGGCAGGCACAGACTGTAACTGGCCAATCTGGCCATCCGAGGATAGATGCTAATTAGATCGTGGGAAGCTTCATTTAATGTCAGGACCTTATGCGAGGAAAAGGACGTAGACTGGACGCGCTCATGTGGGCCTTTCACAGAAGAGTTTTCTGTCAGAATCTTGATGTTAGTGATACCAGAAATCAGCCAGCCCTGGGTTGAAAAGGGGGATTCTCAAGATGGATCCAGACTCTATGATGTTCGCCCAGGCGGTCACTGCACGAACAGGCTGAGGAGCTCAAGCGAACGCTGCTTAGCGACTGGAGGGTGTTACATCATAGGCTTATGAAGCATACGTTCAGCTTAGTATTGTTTGCATACGGAGGTCGTCCCAAAACCAGTAGAGATTCGGAAGGAGAATTTCCTGCCACTGCCGCTACAGCCATTGCCAACGCCACCACTGCCACCATCACCGCCACCACTATCAGCATCGGTACACTTTGTGGTCGGATCATCATGTTTCATAGGCCAGGGCCAGGGCACGTTCAGGTGAGCAGCGAGGCTTAGACCTACTTGGCTTCGACCTTCCTTGCGCTTCATGAAACATGTTGCTTCTGCCTTTTCTGCCTGCAAACGATTCACCAATGCCTCCCAAAGGCGAGAAGAAGTCTCAGGCGGTCCGTTACGAGGAAAGTCATGCAGGAAGTCAAGCCCTAAACCCAAAGGTTGCACGGGCTCCATGGCGAGCGGCAGGCGCGGGGTGGAACCTGCAATTCTTTCACCTGGTTTCTCAAACTTCCAGGTCCCTTGCCTGGGGATTGTGTACTTGACATGTTGGTCATGTACCCTGGGGAGTATTTGTGCTTGAGCCAATGAGACATTCCTTCCCCATAGCTTTGACATATCACAGCCAGACTTGACTGAATTGCCAAGGACACCAACGTCTGGACTTGCAACAAAGCCATTTGAAAACCCAAACACTAAACTTGTTCTTCTGATCTCCAGGACAGAGAGGCAACTCTCCAGGATAAGCTGGTCTCCATTGAGAGCTTCTTGGTCATGTATCGCAGAATTCATAGGGAGACCTGGGAAAACCTTCAGGTGCCCTAAGCAGCACCTGGGCCAGCGGGGAAATATTTTCTCAAAAGATCGCTGTTTTACTTGCACTAGAAAATCTCGTGAGTCTTGTTTGCTCGAAGCTGTTACTCAAGCTGCCTAGAGAAGAAATTCACATGTTCAATGTGGGCCCTAGTTTTAGTCCCCCTTAAGTAGGTAGAATATGGTTTTGGGTTTTGGGTATTAATAAAATAAGATCCCAATAATATACACCATATTTTATCTAGTTAAAGGGGACCATAAACGACTGACTTCAGGTTATAAGGCCAAGGAGAAGACGCTCAAGAAGTTTAAGCTGCTGCTGGATCGGAAGCTTGCTGAGGCCCTGTACTGAACCCAATCGACCAATATGTGAGCTATAGTCTTAACTCCTTAAAGGGGGTTCTATAGGGGATTATACTGGGGATTACTATTGGGGTTTTTAAGGGGGATACTCTAGGGGTTTAGACTATGGTTCATGTGATGTTGAGGCTGAAGCTGTACTTTGCATTGCTGTGATGCCTTCAAAATTGAAACAGTTGCCAGGTGTCGACATCTTTGCAGCCGAAGGATTCGCTCATAAAGAAGTTGAACCAGGACCTTCCTGAAACGCGCAGACTTTCTACTTGGAAAGGCAGGTCTGTAGTGCCAAGCTTCCAAACTAGTAGCTGTCCATAGTTGCCAGAGTGTTCGACATGCAGCTGCCTGGGTTAGCAAGACAAAAAGATCCTAATTCTCAGGCCCTAAAATCTAAAAAGCACCACAAGCAAAGCCCAGAGGATCTGACAGATCTGGAGACAGAATTTGAGCGGCAGCTTCTGGAACAGCGTCACATGGAGCGCTTGGCTGTGCGGATTGGGAAGTTTCTGCCTCCTCTTCCCGGAAGTCACAAGAAATCTATCCGGCCAATAAACCTCACAATCCTTTCTGCGTAATATTAAGCGGCTCCTCTCCCCCCTACTGTATATACTCCACGCCGTATTCAAGTTTATCGTACCGCCTGAACAATAGGGAGGGGGGGGATATGTATTAGGATCCTATTCAAATTTAATTAGAATTTACTGAAAATCGGTTTCGAATACAAACCGTTGAATCACAAGAACTGAATAAAAGTACAATTAAAAGCAATTGAACTCAAATTACACCCTACATAAAGCCTATTTGAAATCCAACAAAATCATAAGCAAATTAAGATCTAAGTCTAGAAGCTAATTCGAGGACAAACTAAGAAGGAAATCAAGAAGATCCCTAGTCCTTAAGCGTCATGTTAGGGACTCCCAGAGGATCCGAGCCATGACTAATTTTAGTGGGCCCTTTCCCTGTTCGTTTTCGGAATCCTGGAGAACCCGCATTATAAATGGGGGGGGGTACTACCCCGGGGAAGCAATTACTCCGTGCATATCTACCTGTCGACTCTGTCGACCTGCCTATTCATATGCAGCGTCCTTCATATGTGTCTATAAACATAAGAGACACAGGCCACAATCAGCTGCTGCCTTTTTTGGCAATCCAGGAGGCCCAGATTGACCAGAGAAAGCAAAAGGCGGCCATCCTCGCTCAAGAGACGGAGGCAGGGGCCTGCCATCCGCAAACATGGGGGACCCCAATATAGACCCCAAAATGCTATCATCCTTATTATAGGGACCCCCCCGAAATGGTACCTTTTTCTTGGAACCCCCACACAGGGTATAGATAGTGGAATGTATGCGGTCTATCTTTCGCAAAATAAAATAAACGTGGAGCAGCTGATGATAGCCACAATTGCGATTGCCAAATCAGGTTCCCATTGTAGCTGGGTCCACCAGACGTGTTACCTATTCCCGAAGCTTGGAGAGTTGTTCACCATTCATACTGACACTGGTGAGAAAAGTCACTTCCATCCGCAATAACGATTAAACAGTGTTCTGTCCTGAAATTTCGGACGATCACTTCTAACAAAACTGGCAAAACTGCAGAAGAGAAGCAAAAAACTACAAGGTTATCCGGGATTAGGCAGAGCCTTGAAGGCCAGCACATTTGTTACTGAAGAAGCTGACGTCTTCATATGGCATTCTGCATTATTCGGTGAAGGTGGTTCGCAAGGAATGTATTCCTAGCAATCAGTATGATGAAGCCAGAAGTGTCGCAGTAGGAATCGGTGTAAGGCAGAGGTGTTTCAGCATCGTCTGCTGGTAACAATGTTAGTGTCAGTTGCGCTAGCAGATAGCGACATGCAGCGACCCATATTTGTTTGCTGGTCATGCCGCTGTTCAGTCATCCGCTCCCTAATCAGACGGTCCCAGCTTATGCAGTTTCTTTTCACTGAGGTGCCTGATTTATAATCCTCTATAGCCTCAAAAATAAGTACATAAATAGATAGATAAATGAATATATACATATATATATATACATATTCTACAGATCCCCGCATATAGCCCTTATAACCCTTGTAATCAGTGAAGGAATCCGCTTAGTAGCCTTGTTCGTCTTCCGAGGAGCTCAAGGCGCAAGTCCGTGAGAAGGATGCTCAGATCTATCGCTTCACCAACGATGTACATAACCTGGTGGCAGAGGAGCGAAGTAGCTTCCGGTTTTTGGGGAGTGTTTTTGTTTTAATTAGGGTTGTTTAGGAATGTTGGTGAATGTGTATATTCAGTGGCAGCAGAGCTGCTTTGGTCTAGGATCCAAAGCGTTATAAGTTTGTAATTGATATGGACCCGAAGATTGCCCATACTAAGTTTGAGCATAGCCTGGTGGCAGATGGGCTGATTTGGCCTGCTGGTTGCGAGAAGGGAATGAAGGAATGGAACAGAACATGGAAGCTAACATATTCTTGGTAGCTACAGGGCTACCGGAATAGCATCCATGTCTCCATTTCCTCCTCACAGCCAGTAAGTTTGGGCGTTGAGGGTTTGGGGGGGTTAGGGATGTAGGATTTCCGTGCGCGAGCCCAGATGCAAAGAAAGGGTTCCAGCAGAGGTGACGCAGGCAGTCTGGAAACAAGGGGGCTTGGGAAATTAGCTTTTGAGGGCTTTCGGCATATTCGGCTCCATGCAGGTATCCGCAAAATTAAGTGGAATACATGTGGCAAATCCGAATTGTACTGCAGTTTTGTGCATACTTGTTCCTGGCTGATTGTCTTGCCATGCGTTTTAGACAACAATGCCCCCCTACCAGAAGTCAGAAAGAAGTACCACCTGCACATGACCTGCCAGCTTCTGCCGAAAAGTGAGTCGATGTTCGAACTAGGTTGGGCTCTGCGTCACCTATCCTACTCTTGCAGGGTTCTGCACGGATGTTATGAGGTCTCAGCTGCACTTCGAAGGGGCCTGGGATCAGACAGTAGCCGATTAGCAAACTGTATCACTATAGTTGTCAAGGGTTAGCATGGGTCCGCCATTCGATGCCCCACGCTAGGGCCCCCAAGAGCCTGACTGTCCGCAAGCCCCAAACCCAAGCACCATTCGCCCGGTGAAGGAGAAAGACCTCTCCGTTTGGCCACGTGAGATACGAAGGTGCCACTTCAGCTTTACATGGCTTTCGAAGTTGAGCTTCGGTGGCTCCGGAGATATCAGGGTTCCTGGCTCTCATAGAAGGACCACCGGGAAGTTTGCTGGGCAGCTCCTAGATCCACTCCGCCGCCTCCCGCATGCATTGCATAGCACCGATGCATGGGGGTGTGGTACATGTCTCGTTAGGCTGGAGAGTTGTCCAGCGAAAGGCGCAGTCTTGTAATACCAGATTATCCTGCAATGCGGGTGTGCAAACAGGGATTTGCAAGAGCAACCAAAGCAGGCTTTATGCAGTCTTTAGTTGCGAAGCTGCCCAATGTCCGGAATACTCATACAGTGTATAATTTGGCTCACCGGCGATGCCGACAACAGCACATCCTGCTGCCTTCATGATGGGGAGTAAGGGCGTATTTGATGTCTTCACATCGCAGCAGAGTTCGAACCGAGTGTAGAACAACATGTTACAGGGGAACTACAATCGGCTTGATTGGGAAGCACTTCTATAGTTTGTTTGCAAGTTTAGAGACCCGCAGCTGTCATGCGCAAGGCTGTACCACCGGCATATAGACAACGATCCACGTGGCCAAGAGCGCCTGCCCCTGGAGGACACGCGAAGAGGAAGTGGTACAAGATGTTGTTTACTGTTTCACTGAGTACTGGTTCTTCGGGCATAGGCTCGTTAGAACAAGCTTTAGCCCGGTGATGCTTCAGACTTTGCTCAGACGATTTTCGCCAAGGAACTTTGCTACTCTGCTGTGGCAGGCATGAACGCGCTTGGATGGCTCTGTGCTTCAGTTCCGGCCAGCTGTCAGTAAGACTCATACACGACAATGCCACTCCATCACGCATGTGAATACAGGAGATGCTGCGGCAGATGCGTGTGGTGGAGCGGCAGGTCACAAGCCGCTTGTGTCGGATGTTCCTTCAGGCTTGGGGATTGCTGTGGATAGAACGTGTCAAGCGTGGCGACGGCGAGAGTCGGCGAGAGTGTCCAATGCTTCCTTCAAAGCTTTGCCAGTTCTGAACCATAGCAATTTAGCAAGACACCTTCTCGAATGCCTACATAGTGGCCTTGGCTAAGGCCTGGCGGCCAAGGGCAACCAAATCCGGGCCATGGGCAAGCTGGACTTGTGACTCATCAGCAGTTTCGGTTGGGCTCCTGGGCTGACTCCCTGTGAGGGATTGCATTCTAGATACCAGCTTGTGGAGTCTGCATTCGATGGGAGTCAAGCCTGAGCTGCTCAGGCAAACGAAGGCAAACGAGAATGCTACGCTGGTTCAGGATCTCGGCCTGAGCAGAGTTATGCTCGTGCATGCGTGACTCCAAGTACATGAGCCAACACACCCCAAGCTCAAACTTGCCATCGAATCCTCCGAAAAGCAGCAACTTTCAGGAGTTGAACCAGCTGCGGATGCTCAAGAGCTCGCTGCAGCGTAAAGCCTGCTGGTCGGCAAGCAGGGGATGTAATTTTTTCAGTTGCTCTCCTGTGAGAAAAGAGGCGAGCTTGGAAGTCCTGATCAGCTATTTGCTTCATACGTAGTGCTTCTGATTTGCAGCTTGGGTGGGTCTTCGGCTCCATGCAGTTTCTATAAATTTCATTGCAGATCTTTGCAGGGATATAGATGACTGTTAGGCTGAAATGAGCTCAAAGCACAAAACGAAGCTGCTACAGGTGTATCGAAGCAGGGGCGCTTCACCATTTCAAGCCCTCAACTCCTGAGGTCCGCAACCTCACGTCCAAGCTTGCTGCACTGACCCCTGGGTCCGAGAAAGCTGCAGTGAAGGGCGCGCAGGTTGGCAAAATCCAGCTTGTAAGCATTAGAAGATTAATATTAAGGTGATGTACGGGGACCAAATGCTCATGAGCTTCATCAAGCTAAAGCTTCCTGAGCTCTGTACCCCCAAGCCCCCAACCCTCAAAACTCCTACCTGGGGGGTTGCACAAAATGGCCATGCGGATTATGACATACTATGTAGGCTTCTTTTTTTTTTGTGGGGGGGGGGGGNNCCCTAAACCCTGAAACCCTAAGCTCTGTAAACCCTAAACCCTGATCCCAAAATCCATCCCAATATATACCCTATTCTACTATAGTTTCAGTTTCCCATGTTCTTTTCCATTATCCCTGTATAACCCCTATAAAGCCCTGAGCCCAAAATCCATGAAGCCAGGCCCCAGAGCTGCCGGCACCTCCACCGGCCCCTTTAGCTGTAGCCGAGCCCAGGGGCCTCCCAGGGCCCCGGCAGTGGCTTGGCAGACGTGAGGCTTCATTGTATAGAAGCGTCACTATATAGGGGTTATGTAGGGATTATATAGGGGTTATATAGGGATTATATAGGGGTTATTTAGGGATTGTATAGGGAATATATAGGGATTATATAGGGAGAATGGAAAAGAAAATGGAAGCTACTATATTATTACAGGGTATGTTGGGATTATATCCTTTAGGAAGTCCTTTGTGAGGCTTGGGATTCAGGGTTTGGGCTTTTCTGGGTGGATGGTTGTTAAACCTCACAGCGCAATGACATTCTGTTTGCTAGCCTCAGTCCCCTCATGATAATATATAAGCCTTGCAGTGAACGTTCAACTGCTGCTGCTTCCACAAGAAGCTATTTCCCACAGACTAGGATCTTTGCAATGTTAGCGTTTAGCGTTACAAGGAAAGTGGCTTTGACATTGAGCAAAGGATCATCTCGCCCGAAAGTACTGAGCCCTGATGAATTGCCTCCTTCGCCCTTTGCAGAATGCAGACTACAACTAAACTAGTCTCCGTGTAAGAAGGGTTTGTGTGGGGTTCTATATGAGTTTGGAAGGTAAGCTGTTCCAAAGTGCTTGCAGCATTGTGGTTTGCTTGTTTGCTGCATTTCAGCTGTGTTACTGCAGAGCTCAGCACACTGTTGAAGGTAGTGGCGCGCATGGCGCAGTGATGAACATAGTGGTGCGCCTTGTAGACTTGTGACATTCTTTGTATGTGATGACTGGTGGTCTGCCTTTGTGTTTGTGCTTGGGTACCTTCGAATCCTGGCGGGGATGGGATGGAAATCCCAGTGTTAGTTACAGGGACGGGCAGCCACCCATTGCCAAGAGCCAGACTGCATTCCATGCACTTACGTGTTGTGTGTCCTTAGCTCCATACTGTTTCTTGGTAGAGAAAGAGGCATTGGGATATCGGGACTACATGGTATTGAGGGCCTACTACATGGATCTATTCCTGTGTTCTCTGCTTACCACCTGTGAGCTTGCGGGGTTTCCCAGGAACACCTCATCTCGTGAGCTGCTGGTGGACGACAGCCCGTCGCCCATCCTAAAGCCAGCGCAGTTAGCGCCTGTTGTTGCTGACTGATTTCAGGCAAGTCTCATGCTTGAGTAAGGTTAAGGACAACAGCAGCTCTCACAGGACTCAGTCACGGGTATGAGACTGTTTGGCAAGACTCTCGCTCCAAGAAAATTGAATATTGATACTAATAGTAATAATAGTAATAGTAGTAATAATAATGGTAGTAATAGTAATAGTAGTAATACTGATAATAAAGATAGTAACAACAATAGTAGGGGCTTTGGCCAACACCAGCTTGGATTCCCGCAACCGCTCCAGTCAGATGGTCATGTTTTGTCCAACAGAAGCAGAACCAACTAGTTCAATCGCAGAACGGTGCCATCATACTTGCCAGGATTGTTGATGTGAGCATATTCTAGATCTAGAATTGTCTAGCAAGGGGGCAGTTAACAAGCGTCGGTCTCACAGCACAGCCAGCAGAAGAACTGCTGACGTCACGGGCTGACAAGACTTGCAAAGCAAAAGGCTCTCAGGCCCTCTGATATCAACCTCGATGATCCCGGTCTTTGTTTTGAGAAATCCTTTTGGGTCATGTCTTTGGTGTGGCAAGGCCAGGATTTCAGCTCCTGTGCGGGCCCTTCCTTCTTTGAAGTTTTCATGCGGAAGGAAAGGGCGTATTGAGGGATTCAAATGGTCGAGACAAACAAGAAAGGTGACATTCAACAACTCGCATCCGTCCTCTACGGTGCTTGCTTCTAATTACAGGCAAGAAGCAAGCAATGTGCGGAGTCTTCTCTTTGCTATCCGCAGGAGCAACGTGCAACCTGGGCGTGCGGTGCTTCGTTTTTTGGAAAGATCGATTCGCATAGTTGACGTTCTCCGCTGGCTCAAAGACCGGCGCAATGCCGCAGTGCTTGTTGTAGGTGCAGCAAGCTTGCGAGGCTTCCAACTCAAGAAGTTCTTTGCTTCATGTTGCGCGGCTTGTGGAAGCTATAGTAGAGCTGCAGACATGTCAGCCTCACCAATGCATGTTAATTGGTCGTTGTGGAAGTTGTATACCTAGATCAGCAAGAACTGCAGGATACAGTAGCCTTTCCGTCTAGAAAAGGAGCGAGCAATCCCCTAGCTCCAACCCTCGCAAAAGTTGAGCATGGCCAACAGGGCCCTGGCTGAAGCTATGTCTGCCTGAGGCAAGGCAGGACTCCAAACTAGACACAGCACGTTGAGAGGGTTCTTTGCCAAAGGCTGGTCTTATGGGTAGGATAGGTTACTTGCACACCACAGGTCGCAAAGTACATCCTTTGGACAGGGAGCCATGCGCAGCCCTCAGGACACCATACAGTATCCCGTCTCCCGACGGCGGCATGGTATCAGGCCGGGCTATACGGGCACCTCTGAGGGTTCCTGGCTTTGCGATGTCCGGAAGAAAGCCGGCCTTAGGAACGAAACCTCAATAAAGATCCAGCAAAACACACCTTGCTTAGGGGGCCTGAAGGGTAACAAGAGACCTTTCTTCCCTCTTCTCGTAGCGAAGTGAGAGGGGAGTAAAGCCAGCAAAATGTGAGCACTGCACCAATGGTGTTCAGCTTCCTCGTGCTTGCGGGTTAAACGATCATCACATGTCACATGTTGCAGCCTAAGCTTGCTGGCAAGGCGTCTGGCTCCTTAGGAGGCCGATTTGTGGCGAGCGTAGGCAAACAAAAAGCGAAGCGCCAACTGGACCTCAAAGCCATCGCTGCTTGAATGGCTGGAAAGAGGCATGTGCCGCCAGGCCCAGAAAGTGTATCTCCCTATCTCTTCTCCGCCAAGCTAAACGTGCTCCTCGTGCTCGTGCTTCTGGTTGCTTCGCAGCATCAGTCTGATTTGCTGCATTTCGGCCTCGGTGCTGGGACCCTTTCCATTTCCCAATATATAGTACAGGCACTGTTTGCACACGGGCCCGGAGAGCATGGCAATTCTGGCACGAGCAGTATGCGCAGCATTAGCCCACATGCACAGCATGTAGTCTTGCATGCGATATCATGTGCTTGCGGCTGCCCGCTTGTAAACTTGAAGCCATCCAAGAGCAAGATCACTTGTAACATGCACGCTTCTTGGAATAACAACGAATGACGTGCGTGAGTCCTACCCTTTCTAGTGCTCAGCTCCGAGGACTGTGTTTGCAATGGATTCGCGGACTCCTTGTGGGACCCCTCGCAGTACGTCATGACGATCGTGTTTTGCGGCTTGCCGAAGCTTGCTTGGAAGCAGAAGCAGAAGGGGGTGTGCGGGACATATGAAATGGACCCACAGAACAGGAGCCAGAACCTAGGTATGTTTGTATTGAGGAAGGCTTGTAAGCCAGCTTTTCGATGGGGTGCAGCCTTTTTCAGCTCTTGCTGCAAAGTGAGGAGGTGCGGAAGGTACTTCCTATCACAATACCACATCCGTAATGCACGTCATATTGAAGGTTCTGGCAGTGCTGCATCGTTCCATGCCTTACTTGCTACTTCACGCTGTCTTGCTGGCTATGGCTTTGACCTAGCGTTTGCATTGCAATTTCCTGCCCCATTTTAGCACGCAGCGTTCCGGCAGTCACGGCTCATCACCCCTTCTCCTGAACACCAAACCCAATGTCTGGTCAGGATAGCGTTGCAACTGCTGATGCTGATCCTGTTCTTTACACTTTTATGGAATACGTTTCTTTTGCGCGACTTGGCTTCTAATTGGCCGGTTGCGTTGCTTGCTTGCGGTGCGCTTTGTGTTTTCGGTACATTTGGGGTTTCTCCTTGTGTTTACCGTGCATGTTACGGAGCCCAGGGAGTTAAAGTGAATCCTCTGATTCTGTAGCTTTTAGAGGCCTAAGTATGGGAGTTTCTTTAGCCCAGTGACCCCTTTAATTCCGCTGCTGCCCCTCTGAAGGTATCTCTAGGGACGTCTGAGGGCCCCCATGTTGAGAACTCCACATGAAGCTTCTGTGCAGGAAGTACCGCACCCAGAAGTCCTCACCTGCGAAATGCCTGTGAAGAACCAATTGGTAGTTTCCCAAAATAAGGGGACCCCTATATAGACCCAAAAATACTATAGTCCTTATTATAGGGACCCCAAAAAAGGTACCCCTCTTTTTGGGAAACACCCAAATCTGTGTTGCTGTTCAAGAATTTACGTAGGGAGCAAGGCTACCAGACCGGGTTCAGGGTTTGGGGTTTAGGGTTTATAGGAGTTACATAGGGGTAATATAGGGATCATGGAAAAGAAAATGGAAACTACTATTTAAGGATTAAAGTTTAGGATTAGAATGGTAGGGACATTTGGTGAACTTTCTGCTTACAATCTAGAGTATCCTCATGACAGCTCAGCAACTCAGGAGAACACACTGTACTAGTATTGTTATTGTTGTTATTCTCGTTGTTGTTACTATTGCTATATACTTATTTTGAGCACTTGCGGTGATGGCTGCCGCGTACTGCGCGTGCTCCGGAGGTTGAACCTCCGCACAGGTAACTTTGCCTTGACCAAGCTCCCTGCCACCAAGGTTCTACAATCCTGATTAACAGGGACTTCCGAAACGGGGCTGCTCATTGTTGGAAACCCTACACCCTAGCAACCACTATACAGTCCCAGGTTGATTTCATTTTCCATGTTCATGTCCATTTGATTCTCCATTATTTGGTCACATATATATATATATTTATACCTTCATTCATTCGTTCATTCATTCATACATGTACTCACACCCCTATAGAATCCCTTTAAACCCCCCCAAAGCAGAGGCTATGGGCTCCTGTTGGAGCTATGGGGTGAACTTCGAGCTGTTGTTGCCTTCTCGCTGCTGTGCTTTGGACCGAACTCCTCTGGGGGTTGGCGTCCATATGGACCCCAATAGATTACATACGCCTTGATAATAGGTTTCCAAAAAAGCGGTTCCTATTTTGTTGGAAGCTCCCACTTGGAGTTTTTAGGACAGTTCGCTGTCTTAAGTTGGAAATCATGGTGCGCTGACATGTCATGAAGCTGTTCCTGATCATGTAAACTGGGTTGGATTTAGCAAGCAGTAGACACCAAATCGTTCATAGCACTCAGCTTGTGTTGAAGGACTCTTGCCAGTTCGTTTGCTTGGGTTGCTGTCTGCAAAGATGCACTTGCGGGCTAAGCCGGGTTGGCAGGAGATATCCCAAGGACGCAAGCATACAGGCTTGGTTTTTCCCTGCTTAAGGCGATTCGGCATATCTTTGGCTGCTCGTGTCCCACGGATACTTGCCGCGCTCGCTGGCGGAAGCCGGGAAGAGCACTGGGCTGCTTGGCCTCATCTTCAGTATAGAAGTATGCCTCAGCTGCTGGAATGTATGTCTGGTATGGTGTCTAGCTAGTTGCCCTGCCCCTGGGCGTAGTTATTTTGAGGTTAAGCGGTAGCAGCGTTGCAACTGCGGTGCTTTCCACCCAAGGCAAACCCCATGAACCAGGTGGCGACTTGGCAAGGCACTTGGATGTTTCCCCGGCCTCACAGATGAAACTGAAGAAGCTCAACCCCAGCTACAGCTCAGCAACGACGCCTGCCAAATGGATGCTGTCAAGCGAGTGAAAAGCATATTCTCATCCTTTCAAATTGTTGTCTTCACCTGAGACACTCTACATGACTTCACATAGGAGTTCTGAGTTCAAGACTTCCACATTTTCCACAGCCTGGCGTATACCCAGGAGTACTGGAGCTAAAGCCCAGGCGTTTTGCGCCAACAACGTTGTCTCGGTGATCTACTGCTCCTGGCTTCTGCGACGAAGCTATGCCTTGGCCAACGTGCGCTTTTACAAGCCGCAGTGGGGGCCCCATCTGCGACCCCCCGTACTACTGATAAAGTCCCCACGCCCGTACTATCAAGCACTTCCACTACAGCAACTTGTTCAACACTCTTTAATGGTGCGTGATGGTTTGTTATGAGGGTCCGAACATGGCAGAGATGTGCGTTATTTGTAGCACGAGGAGTTGCTAATTTCCTACCGCGAAGCCCTGCAACTGCAACTGCGGCAAATTGTCTTGTGCCGAAGCAGTGCCGAGGAATCAATGGAAGCTCCAGTCATAACCGTTAAACTAAGGTTGCACTGGAAGTGCCCTACCCCAACCCGAGTGTACCAGGGGCAGCCCACATTACAAAGATCTGCTCGACGAAAAAGGGCACGCTAAAAGGCAATCACACAACCTAGTCCGTAAGGTTGTGGCAGAAGCATCACGGGCGACGAGGGCAAGCTCTGACTTTGCCTGGCGATGCAGCGGTAGCCACATGAGAGGTCGTAAGAACGATGTGTTTAGAAACTAAACAGGCAAGGGCGAAGGCAGATGAATACACAAATCTGGGCAAAGCACGGCACATCAGCCTGTCATGTCATGGCACCTCGCGAAATAGCAGAAATAGCACAAGGAAGGCAACACCTACAGACGCAGCACGTCTCCATGTCGCACCCAGAAGTTGAGCCAATCTTGAACTTTCCACCCTATGAGAAGGCTTGGTTGCCTGGGGTCTGTTTAAGTAGACACACATGAAGGTGTTGATGAGGAAGCGAACGAGGCATTCCTAACGCAGTTTCACTAAGTGGCCCTGAGGCTCAGACATTGCAGTACTTGCTGACTCCTTCCCATTTACATGCAATTCTTCATCTTGCGCATTCAGCCGTGCTGGGCGGGGTGACATCCACCTTGCTGTTTAGGGACTCCTTTTCACATGTTGCGCTACGTAGTAGTTCACAGGAAGCCGGATTTTGGGGCATGTTGGGGATTTACTTCTGAGTCAAAGCATCGCATGCCTTGGCTTTTTTTAGCCTTCACATCTGCGAGCTGAGTGCAGGGCGAAGAAATTCAGCACTTCCGGATGGCAAAGTTTGTTCTGGAGTGCCTCTCAGATTTCCTTGCTGGGGCACGTTGTGCAGGGTTCTCCATGTTGTTGTCCTGGCAGCTCAGCATGCTGTTGTCAATCCCTACGGTAGGTTCTAAGCCTTAATCCCTGCCATCTACGTCGACGCTTGAGCTTCTGTATGTTTCGAGAAGGTCAGTTCTCATGACTCCATGTAATTCCTAGAATTTCCTAAAGCAATCCCTCAAATGGCCTAGAAGCTTTCCCAGCTGCTGGGGCCTTGCAACGTGGCTCTTCGATAATGCACCAAGCTCCGCGGGGAGAAAGTCTCAGGGCACGTGGGGTTGTAAGGTTGCTGTACTGTTGCGAATATTAGTACCAATATTATTACTAGTACTGAAGACATTGAAACCACCATTACTATCATCACTATTTTTTTTACGACATTAGTATTCTTACCATGCTTATTCCTAATATTGCTGTTATTATTGTGCTACCTTTTGAGCCGCAAGGCTAGGTACCTATTGCAGTGAAGGTCTGCTGTTGCAAGCATACGGCCCGCAGACAAGTGATCTGATCCCCCAAAAGTTGCCGTGTTGCCGTGCTTGCCGTCATTGATGTGCTGCGCGACCACCCCCTTAGGCCATGCCGAAGCTTGGAGCATTCGAAAACCCATCCAAAGCATTGGGACGACGGCGCATCCAAAGGCACAGTAACATCAATCTTTGCAGCAAACGCCTTGAACAATGCCAGCGCTGTCCAGCCTCACATATACACCCGAAAAATGGTAAGGGTTTTACTTTGCAACCCCAAAGTTCGACACATGCCCCAGCATTGTGTCCTGCGTTCCTCATTAAGCCCGCCATACGCATGAGCTGCTACGAATATGTAGATGGGAAGGCAGCGTTAACAGGCTGCCTAGTCAACGCTGAAGCAGCAGAAAAGGCAACAATACCGATTTTCAGACAATGCATTCTTGCGAATTTCTCTTTGTAGATGATCCATGCAAGGCTTTGCAAACCCTGATGGGCTCCCACAAACATCAAAACGTTGCAAGGGTCTATAGCAACCATGCGGGCGGCTGCTGCGACCCGCGCAGAGCGCCCAGCTGCGCCACACTCGCGCTCACCACGCCGTGCTGAGGTTGCAGGGTTCAGAGGTACATGGTCAAGGGCTTGCTGGTGAACTGTACGGATGGCCGGGCCAGGATTTGGGGGTGCTATATACTTAGGAACGAGAAGTTATAAGAGTTGAACCAATAAGGGGCTGTGGTGCAACAACCTCACGGCAATGTTTCTAGACCATCCGCAGGCATCAGGACGTGCAAACAAACACAAAACCAGACTACTGATCTGCAAGCATCACGAATCATGGCTCTGAACCATCAAGTCGCAATAGTCACAGAAAGGCGCCGCCCGGCCCTGGGAAGGTTGGGCTGCCTGGCAGCGCAAACGCAGGAAGCCGCCCGACCCGCAGCTTGGATGGCTGAGGGACTGCAAAGTGCTCAGGGCTAGGCCTGTAGGCTTTCTGAAGGTTACCCAAAAAGTAAGGGTCCTTGTTTGGGCTCTACTTCCATACGATGATCGCATGTAGGGGCCTGGGGTATATGTTGAGGAGACCCCTATTTTGGGAAATACTTTGCTGGCCTAGTGGAGAGACTTTAACAGGACGTCTAGGTTTTTTCTGGAAAGTGCGCATGCTACCTGAAGAATCCTCATCGACATTCCGAAGCCCGAATACCCTTGCATGTTCAGACAGAACCCAGCCAACTGCGTACTCAACTTTGGGATTCCGGACAAGAGCCAGAGCTTCTGCCATGAGGGCTAACTTCATCGCACCATTCACATGGATCCCCAAGATGCCCATAAGAACCGCCTTTTACTCGAAAATAAAGGGTATATGTATTGTCCATTGTAGCCGATATTTGGGAGGTCTAGGCAGGTTAGGACGAGATTCCTGTGCGAGCCAGGATGCAAAGCATGAGCACTATGGGGATCCATTCCTCCGTTCCTGACTCACCATGGACATGTCAGGGGCAGCAGTGCCGGCTTTGCTGGCCGCTGCGGCACGGAGCCGGCTGAGAAAGCGCCTCACAGTTCGGCGCCGGAGCGGCGAGCAGGAGGCAGGGGTTAAGTAATCTGAGTAGGCGCCACTAACTAGATGCAGTACTGTGCTTTGCAACAGGCCAGCAACTGAAAGTTGCCTACCAGGGACTTGGCGTTTGGGTATGTCCATGGGCTGGGAGATCGACTTTGATCTCGCGATCTATACGTAGAGCTTTTCATGCGTCGTGATATGAGCTGACCCTAATTAGCCTGCTGACGGCATTCAGGCATCATGGCATGCTGCTTACGCCGCGCCAGTGAAGTGGCTGCGCTGCCATATGCTACCATGCAGTTAGCAGAGCAGTACAAGGGCTGTAGTCCCAAACAGGTACAGCGCTGACACCAAAGTAGTTCCAAGTGGCTCTTCTGAGTCAGGGAGCTTCCGTGTGGGTATGCGTTCTGGCAATGGCGTGCGTGATTCTCAGGCGCCTTTTTTTGATACTACAGCACGGATTTGTTTTGCAGCTGCCCACTTTGGAGTTTGGGCACAAAGTTTGAAGTGCTAACAAAACCTGGCACTGTTTACAGGCTCGCTCACTGACTCCCTGTCCGTGGGTCTGTAGAGTTGGGGGACGGAGTGACAGGGCCTAATCGTATGATGAGAGACTTCGTAGATGCACTGTCATGGAGGCATTGGCCTGCAAGCAGCAGTGCTCATGGTACAAGCCCTGGCTAAGCACGAGGTTTGAAATGAGAAGGATGGGGAGCAGAAACTGCATAAACATCATCAGCGAAACGAGAGAAGTTTGACAACAGTGTGCGGAGACCTGCGTTCATGCATTCCAGTCACTAGGAATTTGTCGGAACAAACTCCTGGTCTTGGCTTGTTGCAAATCGAGACAGCAAGGAAGTTGAATTGCCCCTTCTAGTGAAATACGTAAGGCATGCTGCGGAGGCACTTGGACATTCATTCCACGCCCCAGACAAATCTGAAGCCCTAACCTATAATTAGGCTCATGAAATCTGGTCTTTCAGGTTGGAAAAGGGCCGTCCCTCTCGGCGCTTTGAAGTGGGAGATGAGAGTGCGCAGGATTCGAGGGGATACCATGATGACCGACATGCCTTCAAGAAGAGGCGTGCGTAGATAGGTTGCAGGCCGCTATGCCATTTACAGCTGTGAGCGCTAAAGCCATGGCACAAACTCAAGGCGCTGCCAACATCTGCTAACTGAAGCTGCGATGTGCAGGGTTGAAGCTGGAGGGTGTGCATGTCAGGGGCGACATCTTCAAAGGGCTTCAGGCTTCAAGCGCAAGACGTGTGAGAGGAACACGCTACCTCTCCACACAAACGGTATTTGTATGTTCATTCCCCATCCTGCGGCCATTCAGGAGCATCTCCGACGTGAGGGCTATGCAGCTTGGCCAGAGGGGAGCCAAGAGTGAGCTGCTTGCAACCATGTGCTGCAAGCTTAATTCTGATCACCACAAGAAAGGCCTTCAGACACGCAGCTCCCTACGCGAGTGCATGGCCATAGCAGTGAGAACGAGAGCTATCGCCACCGCAATCTGCATGCTGGTGATGCCAAAGACGTCCATCATAATGCCGGTGAACGTTTTGTTTTAGGCTAACAGTCGCTGCCTTGAGGTGGTCTTCGCTGACGTCTTGAGCCCTGAAGAGGCGGGTGCACATGAAATGAATACAAAGGCTAATGATTACCATGCCGCTATACCCATAATTTCCGAAGAGCATGACAACACTATGAAGCGTGGCTTTTGGAATCGGAAAGACAAACAGGAGTGACGTCTTGTCACCATGGTTATCATGCTCAGTATCTTCCCACTGTACTTGCCAGCTCGCCTGCCATGGTAAACCACCATTGTGATGAAATTGCCGCTTGTGTTTCATGCTGTTAGCTTTGTTTCTGACCCCTAGCAGGTTTAACAGTCGTTCCCAAACTCATGATGCTCGCGCTCTTGTAGAGTGTGTTTTCTTGACTTCCTCCCGCCATGTCTTAGCCAGAAAAACCAACTATGCAAGAAGTTTGCAAGACTACAATGACATTTGACATGCTAGCTCATATGAGCGAGCTTCTAAACTTGCGTTTTGGCAAGCAAGTATTGCACAAAGGCTGTACAACGATAGGCAAGCCTGAAAAGCGACACCCCGCAATCCAAAAGTCATTACAGTGCACTTTCAACTTAGCTGATATGCTGTAAAGCGACACGCCTCAGTTTCTTTTTGCAACATCTTGGTCGACGAGCCCCCGTAAAGCGACGGGCAACCCTGTAAAGCGACACCACTCATGAGGCGTTCATTACCTTAGGCAAGGAGTTTCGACGGATGCTCATATGAAAGTTTCTTGCTGCGGCTGAGCCCGATGGCAGGTGGCAGAGGCTACGCAGCGTTTCTGGAGCAACCCGGCCCCTTTCAGCTGTGCGGGTATACCGTAAAATATGTCTAGCTCATACAGTAGTTTTGGGCGGTTGGCTGTCAGGTTACCTCAGCGCCTCGTCAGCTGGGGCTATCCAAAGAGATTCGCCACTGACCTGGCAAAGCACCTCGCCGCCGGAAGTGGTATTCATAAGCCATGGTCATAGCTCCTTCAAGGGTAAGAGGCACCCTGAACAAATGTTGTAGGCTGAGTAGGCGTGTGTAAGGGATGACTTTGACCACCCAGTGCATAGGCAGGAACACAGCAGATAGTCAGCAGCTTGTGATGCTGCTCTAAATCGAATGCTCAATCCAATTCTTAGCTTGCCGCTGGAGTTACAGTCAGGACTGCTTGGCAGGGAGAGCCTACACGGGTGCAGGAAGAATGTGATCTAAAATCTAATCCTAGGGCAGTAGAAGAACAAGATTTCCATGGAACCTAGCCTGAATTCTTTCTGGTTATGACGGTTTGCTGGATGTGTCTAGGTCATCTATGGCCTGGCCAAGACTACAACGGCCTCATCAACAGCGGCGGCATTGGCCAATCTGTGCTAACCTTGGCATGCCTTCCTACAGAAGTAAAAGATTTTATGATTTTGCCATGCAGAGAACATCTAGCATGTGATGCTGTTGGGAGCGTGTGCCGAGATCATTCGATTTTTTGAGTTACCGTGAGGGAGTGCAGGATCGGTTCTTTTGAGGTCAGGATCAGCCGCGAAGCTCAGGATTTCATGTGGTACATCCGCAGCAAGCCCAAAGTCGTCTCGGCCTTTGCCCGCGTCTGGGGTACTGAGAAAGAAGATCTGATCGTCAGCTTTGATGGCTGCTGTGCCTTCAGACCTCCTTCCGTGGATCACAGGCCCCTTGACCTGACGTGTGTCGTGATTGTTATCCATGCCTCCCAAAACTTGAGTGCAAAGACTCGTCTAGAGGATGTTCAAGATCGCCATGATCCCATTTTTTTTTTAGACGGTCATCTCTTGAGCCCGCTCACAAACTTTAAGCCGGAGACCTGTTCCTTCATTCCTGGCTAGCAACAGGATGTCCTGGATGACGGGGATTATTACTGCGGGCCCATGCAATCACTTGTGTGGCGTAGTCCTCAGGTGGCGCACCAGGGCCGGATGGTTTCATACAGATCAGAATGGCCGCACAACTGGGAGCGACTTCGTTTGTGCCCAGGACGGGCTTCCTTGCAAGAGAAACAGTATGACAGGCACGAATTCCTTGCTCAAAACAGAAACATCCTGTTCTTCTTAGGGCCTGGTCGCCCTCACAGATGGTGATACTCGCCTTCTATTCCGTCAGCTTCCAATGTTTAGGTGGGGGAAGCCTGGGAAGTCTCACTGGTGGTACAGGGATTTCGAAGTTCTTGGTCGCATTTCTGGGTCAGGATATCTATGGTATGCCTGTGGAGGAGTCTTACGCGAGGTACCTAGCAATCCTGTACAGATGTAGCCACATGCACAGCGCTCTCTTCAGTTGTTGTGTCGAAGGCACACAAGCGTCGGTTCCATGGTACTTGATGTGAACCCATGCTGTTTGCATTCCAAAGTCAGAGGTTGATTCCAATCTGACTCTTTCAGGAGACCCGGCCCTCCAGAACTCAGTGGTACGGTTATGGAGTAATTTAAAGGACCCCTTTGAAAGAACCAATGTGGCAAAGTTGATGACGTGAAGCCAGCCAGTTCCAACAGACTCCTCGGATGCAACCGAACCTGTGACACAGCCATCATTCTCATCGGCTTTCGTTGTTTCATACTGTTTCATGGAAGGTTCTCCTAAAGCAGCCCTCCCCCACAGACTCGTTAGCAGAGGTCCCCAGGATCCACCTACGATCCCTATGTGCCTATTCGCTGGGTCTCCGGGCACCCCTAGTATGAACAACCTGTCATCACACCCTGGTTCTCAATGAGCTGAGGATGAGAGCACTGGCGGACTGGCTGTCCTGCCTGGATCCCACAGGACAGCATTGTTGATTTTCTTTTCATGTTGCTGTGTGCCTGATTGGATTTGGGGGTCATGGTCGTCTTGTTTGCTGTAGCGCTGTATGATGGTGTGCCCTCAGTCTGGCAGAGTTTGCGGGAGTCCAAATGCAAAAAAGGGTTCAGGGTTCCCCGTCTAGTTGGAAGCTGGTATCTAAACAACCGTCAGCTCAGTAGTGTTTGGTATCTAGAGACGTAGGAGATTCTCTCGCCTTATTGGCACGTTACTATAAACACTTCAGCCTATCTGTTTTTGACCTCACCACAGTCCTTCTATTGCTCTTCGATGGTTAAATGTCTTGCTGACAGCTTAGAGTTAAGATCAAGTGCCTACACAGAGTTGTCCTATGATCATCCCCCATGCAAACAGACCAGTACGACTGCTGCACACCAAAGAAAGATGTGTACTATCATGGTGATTCCATTTTTGTTTCTTGGCGGCTTGGTCACAAGCCTTAAGCAAACATCCCGGCGTCAGGCATCACAAAGCCATCTTCCAGAGGTGCACAGGGCGGGGAAGAATTGCTGCGGACGTCTTTAGGGTGCATCGATGAAATAATGGGTGCCCTAGACTGTAACTAGGTGCGTGACGCAACCCCTGTAAACTCAATGAAGTGGCATGAATGAAAGGATTTTGGGTTCACTCTGCTTGTGAAGGTGCCCCAAGATGCCAGTTTCTAAGCAGCGTCCGTAAGGGCGACGGAGCTATGGGCTTCAAAGCAGCTTTCCCATGGCCAGACCTTGAGCCTGGCTTCCTCCACACTGCTACATTTCTACAAAACAAGTAGCTCTTGTCCTATGATCGCTACTCTCCTTCTTGCCGGTTCCTAGTGTCATGGCTTATGCTTCCGCAGGTGGCCCTTGGAGCGTGCCCCTTGGCTCGGCTTGGCAGGTCTCAGATAGTTTATGCATCAGGACCAAGCAATTGGTGCAAGCTCTTGCGAGTGTGGTGCTGCTTGAATCATGAGCATGTCAAGGCTAGGTGAGAGCACTGCGAAACTAGTGCCATCCTGGTATGCGGTGCGATGACACGGCCCCGCCTCTTCGCCTTGATGGGGTTGCCTGGGACAGCTGAGGAGAATGACTTCTTCATTCTGCCTCGCTCAGATGAGCTGTTGTCAGAGGGCAGCTGTTGCAAGCCCCATGTGGTCTCGGTCAGTGCTGGCGCTCCATGGCTTAACAGGTCTGTACCTTGATCATATCCACGTGTTCGGAGCTTCGGCAAAAAACATACTGAAGCTTCGCGTGGCAAGTAAGATAATCAGCCGGTTTCTGCACATCCACTTTTTTGTGTTGTTATACTTGTTCTTATCCCCATTACCACGGAATCAAATTCTTTGCTTGTGGGATGCCTCCAGCTACAAGGACCTTGTGCTGTGGGACAGCCGTCTCATACATTGCAATGTTCCCGCTTTCCATCGTGTCCCGGCTGCCCTGGACTGGACCGTGGGGGTTCATGGGGGACCCACATCTCGACCTGAATATATCTATTACTAGCGGCCCTTAACTGTTGGAAACCCTCATGGGGAAATAGTCCAGATTCAGCTTTCAGAGGCCCCACACCGTTGGACCAAGAATCTAGTTCAGCATGTTCTCTAACAAAGCATGCTCTAGAACAACCTCCCATTATGCTTGACGTTCTTTCATGGTCCCAAATATTAGGATGCCAGGATGACCTCATGGATTTGGCACATGATTCGTTCTGATATCTTGAGACCTTCCCACGTCTTACTTTCCATAGTTGTAGCTTCTGTTCCACCCCCTGGAGCTCCAGCACTCCCCCACCCGCAACAGGGCTTGCGGATCGGCTGAGATATGTCCAGAACCTGCATTTTTCGCTGCAGCGCAATCCCGGTATGCTTTCTTCCTAGCACCTCCAAACTTATTATTTCCCATCCTGTGCTGCTTCATGCCAGGCTGTTGCTTGTCAATTTTAGGCTCGTGTCCTACAGACTGACATGAAATATCTCATAGTTCTGCATAGAGGCCTTGCCACCCACAAATGGCCAGCGAATCCTGCAACTGAATTGTATTCCCATATTCTTTCTGCGAAGCTCCGTGGTTTTCGCGCATGATCCCTATCCAGCCTCTGGCCCCATGTTGCTCTCATGCATGCCCTATACAGAGGGGCACCAATTGCATGTGAGAGCCCTAGGTTTCGACGAAACGCCATTGGATGCGGCGCTCGCAGAGCAAGGTCTCTCCAGGGCCTCACGGGCGCTGCTGCCAGTGACTCGGCCAAAACTGATTTCACTGCCACGATAGTATTACTGTATTTTGGATAGTGCCCTGTGATGTGTGGGTAGTAGTACCGCAACTCCAAGAGCGCTCCTAGTACTTTGACTACAGCCTCCAGCCACAACTACAAGGTTTGAGCAACAAGTCAGTTGATGTTGCAGTCGGTTGCCATGCTAAGAGAAAGTGCGAGACGGTTTTAGTAAGGAATCGCTGTCATCAGAGTGCGCCTTTTTCTGATTTGTTTGTTGTAAGTTTCAGCGGATGTCTTGGAGTTCCTGCTTGCTCTTGCGCCAGAAGCCAAATCACATTAGGACATGGGCAGAGTATTCAGAACAAGAAGCTCTTCAATCAGCTTCAAGTTCTTGACCCCGCAATAAGATGGAACCATCCCCTTAGTTTCCTGCCATCAACCGTCCTTTTATAAAATGAAAGCTACGGTTGGCAATGTGGCAATTCGCAAGAAACGCGCCTCCCGATTTCATGTTGATCGGGAGAATAAACGCGAGAAGTGCTTGCATACCGCAGGAAAGGCTTCACGGGTGTTACTGGTACGGTCTAAGATGAAAGAGGTGATGCAGTTCCTAGTTGGTTTTTGTGCTATCATGCAAAGTACCGTAATCGATTTCGGAAGCGTGTGGTGTTCAGTTTGTTGACCCTGTTTGGTGACAGCTGCGCGTGGCCGCGGCTTTGCACACCAAGCAGTTACAGCGTTCTGTCCATGTAACGAGATGCATGCTATACGACCTGGACGCCCCAATTCTTTTCATGGGATGAATGCGATAACGGTCAGCCGATTTATCTTGGGTTACTCACCATGGAATCTCCAGAGCCACTGACTTCAATCTGGGTGCGTGTGCGCTTCAAGGAACTGACAAGCGTGGCCGATGCTGCCTGGACATGGGCCACTGAGACGGCATTCTGGGCTAAGGGCTTAGGACCCTGCATGGGGCCTCGCGTAGGGTACGGTGCTTGATTTCATGTACAGTACAGGCACCTGAGGGCAAACTGAAGAACTTCTCAAGTTTTAGCATTAACACAACTCCGCAGTTAGCCGAAAAAGTGGAACCGGACCTGCATGCGTTTGGGATCTTTTTTTGCAAGTGTTGGTACTTTCTTGTGTCACTGGCAGTGCAGTCATACGTTGAGAGGTACTTCATGTTGAACTTCCCCATGCCTGTGGCCTAAGTCCAGCAGCCCAGCAAGGCTCTTCACGAAGCCAGCTTTGATGACATGCTTGCTTCCTGGGGCCTCAGAGATCAACCTTTGCGAGCAGAAGTTGCCAAGCAATGCGCTGTGCCTTGGGCTTCACATGCATCGAAGCAAAGATGCCTCGTTTACACACCCAAGATGATGCCAGAGATTTGGTCATGGAAACTCTGAAGTATGGGGCCGTTACAGTGCGTGCTACTTCAGTTGACTCTGCACAAGAAGGGACGCTATGAAATAAAGACCCCGGAACACTGCTTGTCTCCTTGGCTTGAAGGATCCCTGCTGGCACGTTGGATGTCTAAGTTATGTCAAGGTTCCAAAAATGTGGCATGTTTTGGGTCCTTGGGTTGTCACTGCTTTCTGTTCAACTCAGCCCGTTGCTGTACATGCGGCGTTCTCCGAAGTCGCCGAGACATGGTGCCGTTCTAGAACTTGACGTGTGGCTCTTTCTCTTCAGCTCGGCTTCCATGAAGTCGGAGCTATTTCTAAGGGGACATTGCCTGGAACAGCACGTCTTGTAGCTGCAGTAAATGCAAGGAAGCCAGCTCTTTGCAAGCAAGACGGGCGGCAGGCTATCAATCAAGCGAGTTGCTAGGTTTTTTTTTATGTCTTCAGAAAAGCCGAAGATCAGGTGTCACGCAGACTGCACAGATGCAGCTGCGCAGCTGCAAGCTGCGCATGAGGTGTGAGACTGTGTGCTTTGGGCTCCGGGACCTTCTCGAGAAGCACCGATGGATCACTTACTGCCAAGAAGCCGGTAATGTTACCCTTTGTAAGCTGTAAACCCGAGGCACCTAAGCGGGACCTGAACTTGTCATGCAAGCCAAG